GAATTTAGTAATATAAATATGTAAATAATTTAATTAATGTAAAACACGCCCAAACTATAAAAATAAACAATTATATGTACCTTCGCATAAGCACCAAAACATTTTTAAGGATTATTCAAATTATAATTCATTAATATACTGATAGAGTTTTCGATAATAACTCAAACCGATAACGTTTTTCTAACTTACTATTAGTTCCTATACATATATTTGAAATCATTATATTCTAGAGTTCGAAAGCATCTTATACAACTGATTTAGAAATCGTACTTATTATATACAGTTATAAAACACATTTTACTATTAATAAAAAGATTTCCCTAATGTCATTGATGATGTGCAATTCTACTTATGGTCAATACAACAGAATGTGAAAGAAAAAAAAGGAAAAATGGACACAATAAGTGTTACAATAGATATATATGAATATTAAATTATTTATTTTCAATAATAAAATTAAGCACATACTGCGCAAAATTGACATGACACAGGTATAAGGAACTTTAAAAATTTTCGTAGAGTGCAAGAATGAATCGTCGATTGACTAAGAAAACGATTTGAAATTTTCGCTTCTTTCATTTTTCCTACATTAATATTTGTTAAACTTAAATCACAATGACACAATTTTGTATACAACTTAAAAAAAAAATCAAAATCTATAAAATCTATACTTTTTTAAGATATAAAAACTAGATTTAGATTGTCTTGTTCCGCTAAAAAGTGTTATGCGTGGAATTCTTTAATTCTTTCAGTAAACATTTAACGAGCAGGTTTTAATCATTTACTTTTATTAACTGATTTAATTTGTTCTAATATATAAACATTTCTTAATATAATATTTAATTCTTTATTTTATTTATAATATAGAGATGATTTTCTATATTCCTTATTACCTGATTACAGCTCCAGCATTTATATAAAATTTAACAATTTCCTGTCGCCACCCTTAAAGTAATTTTTACATTAACTGTTCTATGAATTTTAATGAACATTAAAATATGATTTTTATCACATCATTTACATTATATTTGCATTGGCTTCTTTATCATTATATTGAAAATTTGTTTTACATAAAAGTATTCTTTTCATGTTTCGTATACATTGTTAACTAAAATTCATATAATTCTTAGTATTTCAATTCTATTTTAATTCCACTTTATGTCTTCGATCAACCAGTAAGTTATTAAGAATATATTAATACTTATGTATATTATAATTAAATATCCATTATAAATTCATTAAAATAATTATGATATTTCATTCTTGTTGGATATGAAAAATCCTTAAATGTATATGACTAACGTTTAATATATAAATTGTAAATCGATATTTATCTTTAATTTAAATTAAAATATATTATATACATTTTTTAATATTTTCAATATGTAAAAATTTACATATTTAAATTATGGGAAATTTTATTTATTTTATATTTCACAAGTTATATCAATTATGTACGTTTCGTACACAATTCTTTGAGAAATAAAATTATTAAAAAATCTAGTACATACTTTCATTGTACATTGTAATTACTATTAAATCGTTTAATTTGTTTTTTGAAATTTTCATTTACTCATGTTTAACATTCAATTTTATATATCTCCATCGTTTCATATGACAGAATATCTTTTTATTACATAATCTTAATCTTAAAAACAAAACACTATATTTAATGAATGATAAAGATTTATATTATGTATAGTATATTATTCTTAAATACTCCTTATATTATATACACTAATACGTTTCATGAAAGACTGCAAACATGTTCCATGTTGAAACGTATATTTTACTATATTATAACAACCGGATATCTGCTATTTTTACTATATATATATTTTTTTTTGTTTGTTTTATTTTACCATTTAATGATGACTTGCACCAAAATTTATAGCACCAATGAACCTATTCTTTCGCATTGTGCATACGTGCAATCACTTGTGACGCATCCGCCCCCCATTGGATAGAAAAGAGGGGGGCAATAAAGAAACGTAGTGTGAGAAAAGACAATATTGTAAATGCGTCCCAACTTTGTCCAATAACATAGGGCGCATCAAACTTATCAACAGTAGCTGAGTGACACGGAATCGTTCAAAACAATAATTCATCATTTTCAACACAACTGGTTTTATAAAAAACCAACTTTTCAAGGTTGTTCAATTACCCTATTTTGGACAACCGAGCAGTTACTATCGCTAATTATAAATAGTGAAAATAACCAGTCAACCTGCAACAGTCGTACCGAAACAACTATTTTAACAACATCTATTCATCTTAATGCTTAGAATATTTAAACAAATACTCGATGCGAATTGTTCATTACTGTATGGACACATACTTATTTTACAGAAAGTTGTTGTTCGTCTGTATAATGCACTTTTGAATTCTTTAACACAGAAAAATATTATTTATGTAGCAAAATGAACTATAAAATATTAACTGCCACTAAAATGAATATACATATCTGAAATAGATGAGTTAAAAATCGACTGTAAGTAGTTGAATAATTTTATATTTGATTTGAACAAAATCAAACTGAAATTCGCATTTTACTTACAAAGACTCATACTGAGTTTGCAGTATCCACATCGATTGATCAGAAATGTAAAGATTGCTTTCAATGTATCAAAAGTGGCTTTTAGTTTTCCAAAGCATATAAGTTCTCGGGCGATCGAACAACAAATTTCAAAATTCCATAATGGAGTTTACTAAATTTCAACTTTTTTCAAAGACAAAAACTTAGTCGAATAGTTCCATATTACCATATTAATGGTATTTCGATGCTTGCATGTTATAGGAAACATTTTAAAATAAAAATTAGTTAACGTAAAGCTGAATAAAAATTTCAACTTTCCTTAAATGGCGGATCCAAGAAAATGATTGTATCGTACCATAACTGGGAAAATTGAAATAAAAATAGACTTATTTTAATAACTCTAAACGAATAAAATCTTAGCTTATATATATCTGATGAACTCTTAAAACTTAAAAAAATCACTCTCACTAATAGGAACTGAAGAATGTACATAATATTGAAAAAAGTTATTAGTATCAATGAAATTTTCTGCATGAGGAACTAAAATAGCAGTTAATCATAGAAGTTATACATTTCGATAATTATGTGTAATTACAAAAATGTATAATAAATGCGAATAGGTCATTTATTAAACTCAACTTTTGTTAAAAATATGGAAAAAAATAGTAGTACCAAAATAAACCTTTCTTTTATTATTTTTATAACTTGTACTAACAAGTTTATTTAAAGAATGACAACAAAATGCTGAATTTGAATGCACACTTTTAATAATCGAAACAAATATAATAGTCATCATTTATTTAAAAGAAAACTTGTTATCAATTATGTTGTAAAGTATGCTTGAGTTATATATTATGTACATTATGATCGCATAGTTGTACATCCAAGAAACTTTTTATTATTGCTTATTATTAATAAGGTTTCCAATGAATTCTGGAAATATTCTGAAATTATTAATACTGAAATTTAAAATGTTTAAAATATTTAAAATATTAAAATGAAAATGAAAATCATGTTAATTTTATTTTAGTAAACTTTTAGTTTTATCATGTGAAGCTATATTGAATTTAATAAGAACCTAATAATTATTTAGCATTACAATAAAACAGGAAATTAAAAAAATTTTCTTTCTTTATTTATTTAATGAACAAAATTACAGAACATATTTTATTTTTCAGAATAAAACTGTTATAATTAACATAGTTATAGAAGTCAGTACTAATATATAAAGTTCATGACTTTTGTTTTTATTTTAATTATAAAAATATCATTATAAATTATTATTATTATATATAAATATCTAAGGCTATTTATTAATGTTCATTTATATATAAACACATTAGGTTTAACTTAAATTTGTACAATTTCTGATTTAAACCTCTTGAAAAAATTGGATGGCTGTAGATAAAGTAAAAATATAATGTAATGATATAGTTAAAATTTATTTATTATAAAAATATATCATATGTATATATATTAATATATATATATATATATATATATATATATATATGAAATATATAATTACATATTTGAATTTGACAATAATTTAACACTATAAAATGACAATTTAAAATATATAATTTTATTAGGGAAAAAGCCAAGTACCATTAGAATTAATCTTTTTAAAGTATGAATTAAAAATATTTATAATTAATTATATCCACTACATTATTTAAGAATTTTATATATATACTAACATTCAATAAAATAAAAGCCATTAATTATTTAGTAAATATATTTTAAAAATTAATATATTTTCATAAATTTGTTAAATTGTTCATCAATTTAAATAGTTACTTAAGTATATCTATTAATACATATGCATTGCATAACCATATAAGTTCTAGATCTACAAATCTATTTTGATTTTCTAGAATTATTTTTATCAAGTTATATTCTTCTTTTTATAATAATATCTTATTATATAAATATAAATTTCAAAATTGGTTATAATAGTAAATGCTTGATATTATATAAATACATATATTATTTAATTTCTTTAATGTATCATTTATTGTTAATAGTAGGGACTTAAAAATATATATTTTTTTTAATAACAGCCTCAAAAAATGTTTATTAACTATTAAAATAATTGTGGATTGTATGCACATAGATTTCATGCTCACAAAATGGCACAGAATTGGATCTATATAACTACATGGTGAAAGTTGCTTTGTTCTCATTAAACTTTAAACTAATCCTTCACTTGAGTGCTCAATCCATGTTTGTGTAACATTAATTTTCATATTAAATAATCAAACATAAAATAAAAAATAATTTAACAAAAGTTAATGATAAAATATAAAATTTTTTAAAATAGTTATTACATAATTGAAACGGAATTTAGGAAATTCTAATTTTTATTGAAATAAAAATCATGTACTATCTGTTTATAACTTTAAATCTTATTCAAAGTAAATTATTTAAAATAATAAAAAAAGAGTAATACATAAACACTTACTTCATTGATTTTCTTGGGTCTTACTAATGGATTAGCAAATTTGATTTCTTTGGGCCACCACTGTGGTTTGCTGATAACTTCTGCTGTATCATGTCCCAAGGAACATTGAACCATGAAAGCAATAAACCGCTCCAGCTCCGGCTGTGATGTAAAGTAGTATTTTCATTTCTACCTTTCCTTTGATTTTTTCGTTGAAATCTTCCCACATAAGCTTAAGCTCATCTTTTTTAATAACATATAACATACCAGTGTGATCTTTTCAAGAGATGTGGGATATCCATTAGCAAACAGCAGAGGAAGGTTGGATATCATGGAACCTTCCTCTACAGTAATATCGCCACCTGGTTCTGTGTCCCCGGTGGCAGCCATCATACTTTCATCCACATTATTGGGTGGTGTTTCTTGCCCCAAGCCTACCCCATAGCCATCCTCTTGCACAGCCGAAAACCTCATTTTTTTAGCAGCTGCTGCATCTCGATCTTCTTCATATCCTTCACTTCAGCCTTTGCATGGCTGTTCAACTTTATATATGTTTACCTTCCATAATGTACTGTTGTAAACAGAAAATTAATAAAATATCTATTAAAAAAAAAAACAATTATAATTAAAAGTGATCAACAATGATCGTAATCAAATTTCAAATAAATATAAAATTTTGTTCACATGCTAAACAACCTTGTTTTTACTGTATTTGATACCCAGAGCCAACTAAAGTGTCGCTTTCAAAGTATAAACGAATCCAAAATCATGATTCTTAACTTAATATTTTTCGTTTAATATTAAAAATGCAATTAGCGCCGAGAAAAATCGAGCAAAAACTAATAAATATTAACAAAACGGAATATTAAATTCATAAAATTTTGAAAATGAATGGAACAAGACAATGGTTTGCACATATCACTATAAGCTCAAAAAAAAAAAAAAATTCAAGGACAAGAAACTGACAGTTCCCACTTTTTCAGTACAGTCTCGAAACGTAGTTCACGTACTACGTAGCTTAAAATGGCGGAAGATCGGAGAGGAACGAAAGAAACGGTAAAGCTCCAGTGCGCGCTCTCTCTCGCCCACTGCATACTCAGGGGAAAACATTTCAAGTTTTACGGGAGCGTAGGCTGTAAACGGCGCGTTTACTATGCTTAGAAATACACATGTATACTACCCCTTCATATGCACTCACACAAACACAATGGAACACACATATACAATCTATAGAAATGAACCGCAATTTTTAAAAAAATTTAGTTTTTTTAAATAAAAGACATGCTGAAATTTTACTTACAGATAGTATAAGTATCACTGTATTTAAACCTGCTAATTTTATAGAGTCCAGTAAACGATTGAAAAAAATTATGTTCCCTCGGACCCTACACTACACCAACAAAACAGAAAGAAGAGAAAACCGCGAGAGCTTCTGGTCGACTGATTCGGTCGTTCGACTCAGACCCTCAGCGGTCTCAGCAGTCAGCACACATGTATGTATTTGCGCATATCCATGCACGCATCTCTATATAAATGTGTATATATACATATGCATGAATATATACGCATTCACACGTATATACATATATATATATATATATATATATAAGTGTATGTGCATGTTCATATGCACCTATACACGCATATCTATACCTACCCACATACGCATACCCACATAAATAAATATACATGTTTATATATATATATATATATATATATATATATATATATATATATACGCGTATATATACATGTGTGCATGCATGCATTGGTGTCAAGGATTTGAAGATACGACAAAGATGGCGACCTTCAATAGATCTAGCGGATATAACCTTAACCATTTTTATTTAAGTTTAACGACTTTTAATAATTAGAATTTATTTACAATGATTGTTTCAATTATATACCATGAAACTTAATTCGATTTAAATCAAATACAGTTTCAATAAATTATAATGAATCGATTTACAAAATTTTCTTCAAATATATTATTCACAGCCAAACTTATATTTATAAAGGTTAGGTTGTTATTCATCAATAATATATTATTTTTATGTATTTAGTATTTTTCTTTTAAAAAATTGGTAAATCATAACAATTATACTTCGTGTCATAGCTTCATATATATGTGCATTTACGTGCATACACATCCAAAAGATTATGTGAATACATATACTTATATAATTTCGATATATATGCAATATATCATGCACATAACATCTCATACATCACATATAAATGCGTTTAGAGCAACACATCCTTCCATGTGTGCATCTCTAGAAGCAGACATGTACAGCCGCACGTTTACGAACGCGTATGTATGCATATAAAAATATATTAATTATATGCATTACGTATTTATGGATTTGTCAATGTACCTATATATGCGTGTATGCCCAGCTGTATTATACATGCATACTTGATATATGTAAATATATTTATGTTATATTAGTATATACATATATTTTATATTATATTTACACGAATTTATGATCAATGAATATACATCTATTCATATATTTATAATAAGTTTAGTTATTAATTATAATAACATATAATTCAAATAATATATCATATATGTATGATCTATACATACGTATATATCTATGTAAGTACGTGATATTCATATACTGCAGCTTATTGTCGTTCAAACAAATGATTGCAACTGATCATAACAAATTGCTAACATACTAATATCATAGTATAATCACTAATATTTTATTGCTAAAAGCAGATATTGGAATTTAAGTTGACAAACGCTCTAACCTGAAATTGGTTTTAGTGAAATATGTATCTTCAGTGACGCCACATTAATTATAAATTATTAGCGTAAAATATTGTTTAAAATAAAATTAATTATTATTGGAATAATTACAATTCCCACGTATAATTCAATTCATGTTACATATTAAGAAGTATTTAGTTGATTAATATGAGTTTGGCACGACCTTTTAGGAATAACTTGATTTCTAGGCTACATAATTGATAATGTTGATTTTAACTTGTTTTCGTGTTGTTTTTTATAATACATTTAAAATATAAAATTCTAAATTATTATAGTTTTCATTTTTTATAATTTTTTCAACAACAGGATTGGATCTTTCAAATAATTGATTATATTATTTTTACCTACATTATATATACATTTATTCTACAAATCAATAATTACAAAAATATTCTCTATATTACTGCTTGCATAAAATTTTGATTTATTAACGAATCTAAATATTTTTTAAACCATATTTTAAATGTTTCTGAGACTTTAAATCTATTTACTGACTTAAATTAGAAGTATTTCAATACGTATTCATGAATATAGTATTAACTTGTGTTATTATAGTTTATTTCCAAATTCTGCCATTTCTCTAATAAGCCAAATTTAAAATATTAACCATTCATTTAACCATCTAAAACTATACTAAAAACAGATAAGGTCTACTCTACATACTTTGCATATATATAGAATAAGAATTTTACATTCGAATAAAATAATTTGATGTATCAAATACATTTTCCTATTTCATCAGAAACATACTTTCTACAAGAGCAATAATACACCCTTGAGGTTGAATGAAGTCAACGTCAAATTGCATATACCTGAGTCGTATTACCTTTTTCTTATCATCATCTTTCTGGTTCTCTAAGCAACTTTCAATGAGAGAAAGAGAGAGAGAGAGTTAGAATGTATGCGTGCGTATGTATGTGTCAAGAGAGAGGGGGGGGGGGGGGGGGGGGGAGAAAAGGTACAACGGTCATGGATATATGCAAGATAATTATCGAGAAGGAAATGGATAAAAATTAGAAATGCTGAATATTAACGAAATTGTCAATTTAATAAGAAATAAATGATTATTTATTTAAGAAGAATTACTAAAAGAAAAATAGAATTTCTTTCACATTAATTTTTTGAATAAGAATTTTGAATTTTTTGAATAAGAAAGAGTAATGTAAAATTCTTATTTCTTTCTTATTTTTGTTTTCATTCTAACAAACATTTCTATTTTTTTTAGCACTGATTATCTATCTTTATGAATGTAAGACTGTATTTATATATTGTTTTATGTTTTATCTAAAATTCAGAAGCACATACATATTGGTAGAAATAGATTCCTGTTTACATTATCATTATTTGTATTTTATAGATATACTCTTTTATTAATTTCCATTAGAGATAGTTATTTGGAGTATATTATCAATTAGTACTTTTATCGAATATAAACTTATAATCAACTATACTTGGTTTATATTTTGATTATGCACAATTGAGACCTTACACTTATTGGATATTACCTGATGTATTTTTTCATCAGATCAGAAACTTATTTTATCGTTATTATAACAGATTTATTATATCGATTTGGATGTTTGTAATTTATATTTAATACTTGTTTTATGTATAAATTAATATTTTAATCTAATTTAATAGCAAGCTTGTTAATCTCGTATTTGCATTTTCAAGATGAATGAAGTATGAAAGGTTAGCTAAGTAGAACAGTTTTCCATTTTAGCATATTTTTAAAAGTCTTCGAAAATTATTGCTGTACATTATTGAAAATAACTCATTGACATTTTAATTATAAAATATATACTGATAAATAAGATATAATGGAAATTAATATTATTTTCCTATTCTTATCTTTAATATTAGTAAGTTGTCGATATGATTTATTATATTTCTTGTTTTAGATTTTCAATTACGTAATAATATATAACCAGAATTTTTAACTACATAATATTGAATTCTTATTTAATTAAAAAAAAATTTATTCAACGTTGGTAATATATTTTCACTAAATAACAAGTAGCTAAATAAAATACAAAATACATTTTTTGGTATTTTCTATGTATGGTTAATGTAAATTAATGAACTGTTGTTTTTACTTTATGTTTTTATTGTATGAATTAATAATTCAACGTATTTTTAATTATAATTGATTCCTATAATAAAAATGAAATAATACTAAACAGGGAATTTATACATGGTTGTTTACGGTTGTTCGAAGTAGTTCATATTGTCACCCTAAAAAAGGTTACGTAAATTGAGCAAAGAGGACATGTTTAATTTATATAAAATCAATTGTCATTCTGCAAAATTGATATCTTCCTGATTTTATTATACACAATGTGCCACAATTTATTCCTTTAATGATATAAGTGTATTAAAACGGTGGATTTTGTTATGTTCAATTTTGCTTGAAACGAAAAGAAAACAAATGCACTTCGGGACTAATACACTCGACGCATGTGTAATCATTTGCTTCTGGCGTTCATAAATTTTATACATCTCTCCACTGCTAGATTAATCGTATCTATCTGTTTGACACATGAAATTATGAACATTTAGGCTTATGAGATTACCAAATGAGGAGGATTGAGTTTTTATTACGAATACTTCTTCGACTTATTGTTTGGTGACACGTTTCATTGTTTCCTCATTCAGTATGAATCATTCCTTCAGGTAGTTCAAAATCACGTATATATAGCTGTGGATGTTGCTGATCTAATTCTAATCGAACAGCATTCTTGTTCATATTGCCTATAAATGTCTAATTTTTTAAAACAAATCATGGTCTGCTCATTTGAATGGAATAACTGAATAACTGAGATAAGTTTGATTTATGTAAAACTTGATTTATGTTAAGGATTCGTTGAGTGTCGTCGTTACATTGCTATCAATATCTGATGCACCTCACAACAAAATTGGAACATACCTAAAGATGTTTCTCGCACTTCATTTCTTAGTTGTCCACTTTAACTCTTCGGGAGATGAAAGAGAAATAAAATGTCCAAAAGACATAATATAATAACGATAGTTTAAAATTTAATATTTATTACGTTCATAATTTTTGTAAATTTTCATTGTTACATATTGTTTTATAGTTACATTACGCATATTTGCTTTTTACTTTATTATCTAATATATCATGTTTAGATTAAAAAATTTTCTTTTGTAAATTTTATCTATGAATTTACCATTGTTATTTAACAGCAAATATACTTTTTAAAGTTAGTTATGTTATTCTTAAGAATTTTTTTTTTTTTAATGTATTTTTTTATAAATCGTATTTAATCGATCCTTTAATTTATAATTATTAATTATTAATAATTTTTTAGTGGGATTTGCAATTGTGTGGAGATGAAGATTTTTGAAATACGGATGTTGTTATAATTAATGAATACCATTTGCATGCTGAAAATATATGCTAAGGTGTAATTATTATACGTATCTTGTGCCATGAAAATAAATAATGGCATAATAATTGGTTTTATTTTTAAAGTTACGGAGATTTTGTAAGTCAGAGTAAAAATTTAATAAATAGTTATATATAATTTTCTAGAGAATTTGTTATAATTGACATTATATAACAATGTCACCCATCATCTAATTTGCAATTTATTTTTAGATATTTATAAAAAAAAAGGTAATGAAAACGTAGCATTTTTTTCCTGAACTTTGTTAATAAATCGAAATTAGAACATAAATCAATTATTCTGAATTATATTAATCTCTTATGAATACTTTTTGCTCTTTGAAGTGCAATCAATTTTTGTCTATGAGTTTTAAAAAAATGGCAAGTTCTAAAAAAATTGTATATGATGGTATATTTATAATAGCTTTTGGAAAAAAGTTAGATTATTGCAGTAAGTGAGAATATCTAGGTTAATTGATTCAGAAATAGAATCTTTTGTAATAGATCTCATGGCTCATGATACTTTTCTTTTCTTAAAGTAATAGTAAACTTTACTATTTACGTTTATGAATCGAATTTCATAAGCTTTTTGAAACCAAAAAAATTGTTGTACCATCGGTTTATACTGACTTAAGCTCAAAACGTTTTTATATATTAATTACATAGTAGTAGGATTTTTGGAAATTTTCTAAAGTATTTATCTATTTCAACTTGGATTTGTACTCTTAAATTTTTCAATCAATTATAATTCTTTTTGTATAAGTATATAGTCTTTTCATGTTTATTGTAAACAAAGGCTCTTTAGCATTACCTTGACTATCTCGAATACGATTTATTGTTTATCATGAGTTTGTTTTGTAATTTTTTTTTTATGTTTTCCCTAATATTTCTTAGTTTAATTTTTTAATGAAAAGTAAAGGAATATATATATATATATATATATATATCTAAATCAACTATTGATATTAATTTTTATGTATTTATAATTTCTAACGGTTTATCTTATATCGTATTTTAATTGGTTTATCCTAAATTTTCTCAACTGAAAAATTTGCTTTATAAAAACAAACACATTAGGTTTTTACATTCATAACAAAATTTGTAATAACTTTGTATAAAAAGAATAAAGTGAGCTATAAAGCTACATACATACAATTACACAATTGCGTAATAGAAAAAAAATACGAATAATTAAAAAAAATAATGAAATAATTGACATCAGAAAAATTTGTTTGAATCATATAGTATATCATTAGTATATATGCATATATATATATATATATATATATATGTATTTTGTGTGTGTGTGTGTGTGTGTATGTGTATGTGTGTGTGTATAAACCTTAGTTACATAAGAAATATACAGATTACCAAAATATATATTAAAAAAAATATGTAACATTATTAACACTTAATGAACATTAACATTTCGTAGAATAACCTCGAAAAATAATTTTCAAATAAAAAGAAATAATATTCGAATACCGCAGATAATACAAATTAATAAAGAGACTAATAATTTTTTAATCTTCCTTTAAATAAATATGTTTAAATTAAAAATTTTGTAAAAAATTAAGAAATAATATTATCATTGTTCTATATATTTAGTCATTTTTCATAATAAAATTAATAAAACTAATACATACTCTTTTTCAAATGCATCCAAAGTATGAATAATTTATTTCTTTCGTTTTTCTTATTTATGCATCCCAAATGTTGTGCATTTCACCTTGACTGAAGAATTTTTCAGCTCAAGTGTAGTGAATAAAAATAATAAAATCTATGAATGGAGTAAAGGTAGCAAATACTTTTATATAATTTTCAGAATTCAATTCCATTCGTTAAATTCATTCTTATTGATTTTTGTCCCTGATTATCCACGATAAATTCTATTTATTTAATTTATTTCCTTCAAGAGGAAAAAATGGAGAGGTCGATCACGTTTTTTAATTTTTTTCTCCAAATTTGTTTAACTTTTGATCCGATGTATCTTTTCAATCATAATTTAATAAATAAATAAATAAATGAATAAATATATTTATATATTAATCACATATAAATAAGATTAATTAGTTATATAATGGAAGTTAATTTTGTATATCAACTTATCTAAAAATACACTATGTATGCTATATTATATTGTGTCTGGCTGACCGAAATTTCTACCATATAATTGTTGTAAAAATACAGATTTTAATTTTACGCATTAGAATCCATGATTTATACGTTCGATAATATTTTAAAACAAATTTATAATTCACATGAAAAAAATTAGATTTTTAACTTTGATCTCATGATTCGGTATATATTTAAATTATAGTTTTAACATGCTACGTAACAATCTGAATATTATCTTATGAAAAATAAGTTACATTACTTATAATTCTTTTTCTTTGTTGTTTTTCAAACATTTTATAATAGATTAATTTGAAATGCATAAGGAATATATTTATTTTAAAATACGTTTAAACGTACATTTTATATCGAAAGTATATTAAGTGAAAATAATAAAATATAAACTGTAATATACATTATTAGTTATATCAGAAAATAGATAAATGTAGATGTTTGAATAAGCTTTTTACAATATCGAATGATAATTAAATATATTTTTATAACAAGTAAAATTATAAATACATGGTAGTAGCATTGTAAAGTTCATACTTAATTTGAACACGTTTAATTAATAATAATGATATGATGTATAATACAATTTATATAATTTATTGATGGTATACAAATTTTTATAACTATAGTATGGTAAATCAATGTGCCGTATTCCTTACCAGCAGAGTTGGTAATATGGCTTTGAAGACAGAATAGCCAACATTTTGACTTTGAATGCAGTCAGGTCAGTAGTGGTAAATTACCATCGGTCATTAGTGCGAAAGACAGTCGAAAACCATAGAGCATTATATGTTCACTGTGCAACATCTCTGGATTGTCTTTTTCTCGTTTCTTGGATTCATTCGCGGTAACGGCGGCGCCTGTCTGCGGTTTTTCGTACTTGTGTACCTCTTTAATTTCGCGCTTTGTAAAGTTCTGATAATATCTTGTATAAAATTTAGTATTTTCCAAAATGGCAGCTACGAGAAGGTTGCAAAAGGTAATTTGAATATTCTTTAAAAAAATATCGCAAATTAAATTCATGCGAGGTTACGTCTTAACAACGAGGGAATAATTTTATTAATGTTACTTTTTTTTCTCTTTTATTTCTTTTCATTTATTCTTTCGTACTTGTGTACATTTCTGGACGATGTCGAAGAGTTTATCCTTTTTTGGACTGTTCGCATATTTTTGCGTGACGTATGATTATTTTAATCTCCAGGCGTATTTTTTTTTATTATTTATTATAGGAGTTGGGTGACCTGCGAGCATCTGCTATGAAGAATTTCACAAATATACAAGTGGATGAATCGAATATTTTGACTTGGCAAGGTTTATTATTACCGGTAAATAAAAAACGATCGCTTTTTGTATTCCATCATCTTTAAGGGGAATTAACTGGATTTCAAGTTATACGATCAACTTTTGAAATGCCTAATCTATTTTTTGTAGGATAATCCACCATACAATAAAGGCGCTTTTAGAATTGAAATAAATTTTCCTGCAGAATATCCGTTTAAACCACCAAGAATAAATTTTAAAACCAAAATATATCATCCTAATGTTGATGAAAAGGGACAAGTGTGCTTACCTATTATCAATGCAGAAAACTGGAAACCAGCCACAAAAACAGCTCAAGGTTAATTTTTACAAATGTTTTCATTATTTTATGGATTGAAAATTTTAATCTTAGTTTTATTTTTAATATATTACATTTGATATATCAATGCAATTTATCATTAACTTTTAATAAAACAATCTATAAAATTATAGAAAAATAATATTGATAAGTGATTTATATATATATATATATATATATATATATATATATATATATAGTATATTGAATCAATGATTATTATAAACTTAATCATACATGTTTATCATTAAATTACTTGTATAATTATTGCTAAGCTTCCAAATAATATTCTTGTAACAGTGATATTGTCAAATTACATTATATAATTTATCTAAAGAATATTTTAGAATCTTATAGAAAGATATAATATTCTATATTATAATCTATATTTTATTATTGAAATGTTTTTAATCTTCCATATTATTTCTACATTATTTATACCACTAAAATCATCTGATTTATTGTAACTATTTTTAGTAATGTTACATTTTTATTCTTTGACTTTATGTTTACATTAATTAGAGTTTGAATAATAAAAATTTAAAGTCTAATAGATTGATTATTTATTTATAATCTGTTATATTTATGATAAATATATGCAGGTAAATATATAAGTTGAATGTTTAAATCGTTGGAACTAATTAATAAACTACAACTCTACAACATTAATAAACTCTATTAATAACATTACCTATTAGGTATTTAATTGTATTACTGCAAATGCAATCATTAATTTTGAAGTTGAATAGTAGAAAATTCATGGAATCTTTAATCAATATTCAATACAATAATAATATAAATTTTAAATAAATTATAAAAACAAGAAGCATTAATACATTCTATAAATAGCAATATCAATAGTAGCACCAATAATTGTTTATATAAAGAAAGTCATCAATTATTTATAAACTTAATTATAATAATATAATAAAACATAAAATAAATTGAATTTACAGTTATACAGGCTTTAATCGCATTAGTCAATGATCCAGAACCAGAGCATCCATTAAGAGCTGATGTAGCTGAAGAGTTCCAAAGGGACCGAAGGAGGTTCTTAAAAAATGCTGAAGAATACACAAAGAAGTATGCTGAGAAAAGGCGAGAAACGACTTCGGCCGATTAACCGCGTTTAGTTTTATTTGCACCAAGATGCCTGCTACCTACCTTTCTTCAGATTTGTAAACAATGAGCTTCTTTATTAGAAGTGGAACCAGGCTGAGAACACTTTGTACAGTATCATTTGACTTTGATGACGAAGATGAATACATACAAATTGTACTATTTATAAGAAGAAAGCAAACTTCTAGGGTTTAACCTACGTTGTAATAAACCATTGTGTATCATAAGCTGGGGTATATGTTGACTCCATTAGGAAAAAAGTACATTTTTTTTATGTAAAAATGTACTATAATTATCTTTTATTGACCTATTTATGTGCTTGAATTTTAATATTTATACTGTCAAAATGTTAAGTTAACAGCAAATGAAAATTTAAATAATTATTCGTAGCTGTCAATTTAAAATGAAAAACGAAAATTTTAAATTGTTTGCATTCAATTTAGCACGATAACCCAGCTTACAGCTTTCTTTTTGTGTGAAATGAACTGCTAGAAGAATTGATGTTGATAAGTTTAAAATAAGTTTGATTTAGGTATGAAAATATAATATTATTGTACTTTTAAAAACCGTTAAAATAAAGATTTTGCAGAAAAAATTATACTTGAAATTTGATAAAAAAAATACATTTTAATTCATATAATAGAATCAGTACAAAATTGAAAAAAATTTATTAAAAGTTTATTTGGTTACAAGACATTAAATTATAAAATATGTAAAAAATATTTTAAAATTATGTTAAAAATCTGTATATCATTTTTAATTATTTAATCCAATAACTTGATTAAGTCATTAAAACAGAAGTTGTCCATGCCATCTCGTAAATCATAAATTTGTTCACATTTTCTTAACGCCGCAAATAACTTATTAAATGGAGTATATCGTTGTAAAGTATTCAAATCTCCAATAATGATAAGTTTGTGCTTGGCGCGAGTCACAGCCACAGTTAGACGCTGATGATCTTCCAAAATATCATATTCCTATTAAAATATTAATTGTATTAAAAAGATAATTTTTACGAATACTCTATAAAAATGTTGTGAATAAATTATTCTCTAACTATACATTTGATTATGATATATTTTGAATGTAATAAGTTTAGTTGAACATTCTTAATATTGAATCAATTGCAATTTTATTGATAACTAATTTTATCAATTTATTCAAATAATTTTATAAAAAGAAATTAAGTAAAAACATAAAACTTACTGGAATTTCCATATCTGTTGATATGCTTTTTGTGCAACTGTATATAACGACACTTTTAGCACGACCTTGATATTGATCAACAGTATTGATTTCGATATCGTTTAAAAGGACTGCTCGTAATAAACGTACCTGAGCTCTATAAGGTGTAATTATTCCAATTGTTTTATTATCAATACCAAGCTGCAAAAATTTAATACTATTATCTTAATTACTTTTTATGTACATTATATAAATGCTTTAATACATTTATATGAAATTTGATATCTTACATTCTTAAGAACATTAATTAGTCGTATAATAATGGCAGCTTCCCAATAATTACATATTCCTTTATATTCAGTATGTTTTAGGTCAATAGCAAGGTTGTACGTAGCAGATGTATTTAAAAATATTGTTGAATTTCCTAGCTCTAATGAAAGAGCTTTCCTGACCCATCTTTCGCATGATTTGAACTCCTATTGATAATTAAAAATGAACATTATTTATATATATGTAATTCAAAATAAAAATAATAATTTATATCTAATTTTTAACAAAAATATGACTAACTGCTTTATTAGTTACGGGTAAAGTTGCATTTCCAATTATTTCATTTCCTATTCGTAATTGATTATTATATGTTAGTTTGTTTGCGGTATTCATAATACATTTGTTCATCCTATATTGTAATAGCAATGATATAGTATTGTTTTCTGAATTTAATCGAAAAAATAATGATTCATTCATACCTAATTTTCTAAAAATTATAAAAAAAAATATTTAGTACAATAACATAATAAGATATTTTCAATTTTTTAATCAATTAGTACAGTTTTATAAAATAATATAATTAGAAATACCGAGAGAACAAACATTTGCTTCATGAAATTAACAATTTAAAAAGACAATATACAATTGTAACATCTTTTATTTATAATTCTATGAAAAATAACCATTTATATTTAAGTTAGTAAAAATATACTATATCACTAAATTAATAGAATAAAAAACAGTAAGTTGAAAAAACCTTGCTGTGACACTTTTAGCAATTGGGGGTAGTTGTTCTGGATCTCCCACAAGTATAAATTTAGAAGCACAGTATAAAGGTCCTAAAATGGTAGGTTGCAAAACTTGCGTACTTTCATCGACAATACAAATATCAAATATACGTTTCGACAGATGTGGATGACTTGTACCATAGCAAGTTAGACCAATAACTTTCTAAAAATATAGTTAAATAATATTTTATTTTTGTATTTTATTTTAATTTTTATAGCACTTAAGACTTATTAATAGAGGACCAATATAACAGATATTTTCCTTCCTAATCTATATAGAAATATGTAAATTTTATTAAAAAAAAAAAAAAAAAAAAAAAAAAAAAGAAGAAAATATGAACTTCATTTCTAATCCCTTAAAATTTAATGCAGTATGATTTTATTAAAACTTTATTTTTAATCTAATTCAAAAACTGTTTATAAAATTAAATTAGTATGAAATATGGCAATGATTTTAATGAATTATTTATCATTTAGATTTTGCTATAAACATATAAACATATAAATAAATAAATTATAAAATATTTATAATTAAATTTTATATAAGAAATTTTTAGAAGAATTTAGACTTACTTTACTGCAATATACGTTATGCAAATCTTCTGGCGAATTACAATTTTCAGTTATATTATCATCCAACATGTGAATTAAAGCAGGATTTATTTTATTACTAGATCCAAAACGTACAAAGTCAATCTTACGTTCCAGTAATTTTAATAATATATTATCAACAGCATTATTTGTATGTGCAGTGACTAGCACTGATTTATTTAATCTTACAAACAATTCAATAATTGCAACTATAGTTTCAGTTTTTCCAGTACCTGGAAATCCTTTTATTAATAAATAATCATTTGCAGCTAACGTCTTTAAAATCGCTTGCTTTTGATCTTCATTTAATTTTTTAAAAATATCTTTGCCTACTTTCATAATTAAATCAGACGTCTCAGAATTAAATGTGGCTGGCTGTCTAAAATATAGTAACAAAATATATAAATTAAAAAATTAATAATAATCTTTATCGTCTATGATACATAAAATTAATACCTCTCTATCACAATTTTACGTAATTTGGTACAGATACTATGATTATTTAAAAGACCACCAAGTTGTGACATATTAAAAGTCAGCAATGATGAAGACAAAGATTTATCTATATGAAATATTGAATCGTTATAAACTTTACTTATATCTCTGAAAATATAATTTAATTTTAATAGAATCGCAAAGAATTCAATACTTTTATTGAAAATTGTACTCATACTTTTCACAATATACTAAAACAGCAGACGGAGTGACTTTATTTATAAAACCAGAACACACATTTATTCTATTATTTGTGCTAATAATCACATAATCTTGTTCGTTAAAATCTGATGTGTTAATTTTAGATACTTTTTCATAATTTTCTATACGTTGAAATTTATGTAAGAATCTTCCATCGTTTTCAGAAACAAAAATCAAATTTAAATTACTAATGCACGAACCATTTTTCTCCCTGAAATTGATAAAATATATTTCAAAATTAAAAAAAAAATTTTATATGATATTTAAAAAAAAATGATTATATTTCATCTAAAGATTTACCTTTTTGATGGTTTTATAGTCCAAACGTCTTTCCATGAAACTATATCTCGATTATCAAGGCTTTCTTCAAGTTGTAAAAGTGAAATCCACTTCATTACATATTCAGTATGTTCCTCACTTAAATAACTTGATATCTCATTATCGAGGATTTTCAGAGGATGATTATCATGCAAGACCTTTTTATCTTCTTTCATAAGATATGTGCAGCATAAAACATTATAGGGACATTGAGTACATGCAGTGTGATCGATGGGCTTTGGTAATTCCATAGGTAAAATGGTTTCCTTATTTTTTATTTTGACTATTGTTGGTTGCCTTGTTGAATAATAAGCTACTGTATTTCTTAAAGTAATTAAATCTCTTCTAACATGAACACTTCCCGTAATTTCTCTCATAATATTTTCCCTAATATAAAAATCAGCTTAATATTATTACATATATAACATTTTATTTAAAAAATTCTTATAAATCCAATATTTGCTCACTTTAGATATAAAAGTAAACCAGAATCTGTTTTACGACCAGTCATATCCATCAGCATTGCATAAAGAATTAATTGCCCTTGATGTTCATTTGAGAATGAAACTTTACCAGTTTTTAACTCAAGAGGAAGTATTCTTCTTTCTACATTTGGACAAGATTTATTTGTTGATTTTTTACTAACTTCGACAGTTAAGTCAATTTTTCCTTTCAAGCCGAGAGTTGGCATCCAAACAGTTTCTTCAATATCACAGATTTTTTCAATTTTACCATCAAAATTTTGTGCACCAATAATTTCTGATCGATTACCTTTTTTATACATAAAAAAATATGAAAGTGAAAATTATTATTTATATAATAGATTTCTATTATAATGTAGCTCAAAAAATATAGAAATACCTGTTATATATTGTTGTATAAATTTATATATTTGTGCAACAGCAGGTCGCATTAAATTTTTACAATCACTTGTAGAAATTCCAGCACTGTACATCATATAAATAGCATTTTTTGATTTTAGAATTTCGTTCAATAATCCAGAAATACTTTTCATATCTTTTATATCTTTATCCAACACCTTATTGTAATATACAATTTTAATTATATTTTTCATATATTTCAAAATCATATTAATTATATATAAATTACCATTTGAAGAAGCTCATGAGTCAAACTTCCAATAAGCATTAAATTATTTCCACCTTCATAATATGGCAAATTTTCAAGTAGTCTAAATTTTTCTTGAAAAATAGAACGTCTATTACAAAATAATGCACCAACAACCGTTGTACCAGAAATAAGTGTATCCGGCTGATTAATAATCCATCCAAAGTTGTTATCCACAATCCAATACTTTTCTTTTATTGACTCTTTTTTTGCTTTAATAACTATTATTTCACCTGGTTCAATTTTTGTATAATGCCTAAAAATAAATATCAAATTTGAAATAAAAACAATTTCATAAGTACATACATATCTCTTACCATACTCCAAAACACTTTACAATTGCTAACGTTTCATCATTAGTATTTTTAACTGATAAAGTTGTACTACTTGTATCTGAAATAATGTCAATGATAATACATCTTTTTGGAGTACTAAAATCAATAGTACTCTCATTTTCATAACACCATTCATCTTGAAATAAGTCATCCAAGTCATCTAATGTATCTCTCTTATAAGACCAGTCTTCTTCAAAAAGATCATCCAATCCTTCAAGAGTATCTGTTGCTTGAGAATTTAAAATATTGTCTGTATTACCGCTATCATCGCTTATCGATATACATTTGTTTTTTCTATTTAGTTCTATATTTGATGATGAACTAACACTAGATGTCTTTTGAGACGATTCTTTTACCAACGATTCTCTTATTTTTGTCTCAACTTCTTGATCATTTTTATTCTCTACGTTTGCAAATGAAATATTGCTATTAGATAATTTCCTGATTTTTGATGGCTTTTCTATACAGTTCATGCTTTGTTTTTTTCTCTTTTTCAAGGAAACATTATCTGTACTTTCTATATTAACAAACTCATCTTTATTACTTTTAAAAGTCTCATTAGAAATTAATGACATTATAATTAAGTATCATGATCAATTAATATAAATGCCATTGTATTTTTGATATTCCTTTTTTAAGTAAACACTAATGAACATATGACATAAAGAGTCAAATGTATGGATTTTATTCACCAAGCATAAATCGTTTATTGTATTAAAAGATTTAATAACTTAATGCGATATAGAATAATAATGAAAAACAGAGAGAACATGTTATGCCATTACAGTAGCACATTCGCGCCAAAATTTGACACAAGTGTGTGCTTACGTATGTGCGCGCGTATGTGTGTTTGCCTACATTAAGGATAATATTCCATGTACATACTCTCGATTTTGCGAATTGAATGTTAAATTTATTGGTGGGGCTTTGTAATCGATCCCTATTCTAGATGCCGGCGAAGATGGGTGGATAAACTGTTTATGTAGTTATTGTTTACTATATATATATATATAATATATATATATATATATATATATATATATATATATATATATATGAAGTGGAAGTCAGCCACTTTGCTATTAAACGAATTTACATTTATTAATGTTAAACGAGAAATTTACAAATCGCTAAAGTAATATTAAAAAGGTGAATGGGTTTTAGTCGTTATCCATTAGCCGAATTATGGATGTAAACAAGTGAAAGGAATGTATATAACTTAAAGATACATTGTATATATGAATTTTTTCATTCCTTTCACATTAACAACATTAACAATGCCTTCCAGTCTAATACAAATATTAAAATATCCTAAGTATAATATACAAGTTGAATAATATCAATTTTTTATTAAAACTATTTTATAAGAGGCCCTTTATTTTGTTTCCAAACTAAAATGACATTAGTTTAAATAAACGGTATATCTTAATTCGTTAAATTTCTTCTCAATATATTAGGTGTGTACGAAAAAATCAGTATTATAAATAAAAAATTTATCAATTTTATCTTTATTTTTCAGGCTCTTTCAGCCGCTAAATATGAATTATGTAAAAATAACTTATTTATTGACAAATGTCAATTAAATCAATTGAACTGTGTTGCTAGATTAGTTGTCATTGCTCTAATTGAATTTTCTCTATAAAAATACGAGTCAATAATATTAATTTAAACAATTGATCATTTGTATCTTTAAATTACAATTACTTTTTACTTTTTTCGGACGATACATTCTAATATTACTGACAATATTTTAATCAATAATTTATTAGTTTTTTTAATAAAAAATGAACAATTATTTTATCAAAAGACTGTCGGTATACGTAATGTATATATATATATATATATATATATATATATATATATATATATTATACACAATATGTACATAATATTATTGATTGATATTAATATTGATATTGATTATTACAATAAAAATGTGGATATTTAAGAAAGGTAAACATTACTAAAGAAATCAAGACATTATAAAATGTAATTAATAATATATTTTTAAAATCTGTTTCATTACAATTTCTATAGTTATGTAATACAACTAAAAATATATTATAATCGTAACATAGCGTATAAAATTAATATTGTAAATTTTTATTATGTAGATTGAAATAACGAAGCAAATTTCTTATAAAATATAAAAAAAAGAAAAATATATGAATCTTACAAAAATTATTATAATACAATGCGATATACTTAGATTATATCATTAATAATAAATATTATATATAAATTATTAATTAATAGTCACAAGATTATATTTTATAATCAATGAACTATTCGTGGTATGTAATAATGAAATAAGTAGTATCAATTGGTTTGTCGATTTTTTTTTCTATACTACATAAAATCGATATATCTTGTTTGTTTTTATAATAAGCAGTGGTTTTATTTATTGCATTAGCTTATTTTTATTTATTTATCAATTTACATTTCAAGCTTATGATTACTTGAGATTTTGAACAAATCAACTTTTGTAAGTTATATTAAATAAGTATTATTAAGTATATCGATTGTATTATTAAGCTAATATTCAATAAAACAACATTTTCACATCGATATGATTGAAAATTGTAAAGTAATAAAAAAAAAAAAGGTAAAAATTAGCCTAACTTTATAAACATATTTACGGCTAGAACTGCGTAATCAGCACTTATTATCGTGTTATGTCTTATTATAGACTATTAATGTTTATTTATTATAAATTGAATGAAAATGCACTTGATGTAGTGGGATAAGTAAGTCCGAGGAGATATGAAATGTTTAAAAATAAATCTGTCATTAATATATTTGATAGTATTAAACTGTGTGCAATTCTTAAATAGTTTAAATAATTTTATGTAGAGACAAAGTAAAAATGTTGATTCGAAGCAAATGGAAAAGTGTAGAAAAGTTTGTAAAAAGTAAATATTAATGTATTTAATATGTATAATGTAAAAATGATGGGGTAGATATAATGCGGTAAATGAGTGGGAAAATTATAGGAATGAAAAATATGTGGAGCTTAGGAAAGAAGATTTTGAGAGAAAGATACAAAAGGAAAATAAAAAAGTATACAGTATTTATTGATGGAAAACGAAATTTTATTCAATAAATAAGTATAAGATTAGAAAGGAGAAGAGAGTTTAAATAATATAACAATTAATATATAAAATTCACGCTATAGTTAGATTTAATAAAGATAAGTCATATTGGAAGTGGAAGAAAAATAATTTTCAATTACTAAGTAAAAGGAAAAACCAGTTAAAAATGAAGAATGCATAATAAATAATAAGTGCGTGAAGATATAAAGTAAAGGAAGAAAATGAAAAATAGAGTCTGAATATTGTAGCCTGTATCAATGATTAAATAGATGAATAAATCTAATTGACATTTTTGTAAATTTTTAGTATTTTTATAATACTAATTAGCTTTTATAATATAAATGGCTTTTCGATTATATTAATAAAAGCACCCGTACGAAAATTTGTAAGAAAAAGTAGTATTAATCGATGTAAAAATCTTCCTAAATCTTGTTAAATATCAACTTAATAAGTACTTTATATCTCGATTATTTTGAGAAACATACTAATTTGACTCGATTAACATGAAATTATATATTCTTTAAAAATTTTGTTCATGACTCTAGTAAGACGAACCGTACGAGTTGTATGTCTGAATATTTTTATGGATGTATGGTTTGTAAAAGCCACGATAATATATGTATCATAGATGGTCCGCAACAAGTATGGGAACCCGAATTTATTACATCATACGAGCGAAATGTTCCTATGAGAAACTTTTAAATGGAAGGGGAATTAGCAGCGAGTTTGGTGTGCGTGCGCGCGCGTGTGAGTATGTGCATATGTGCATTTGGATGTGCGCGCGCGTGCATGCGTAAAAAATAAAGAGCGAAAGAGAAAGAGGATTTAAAAAAGAATTATTTTCTTTTTAATGTTGAAGATCTATAAAATTAAAGATATTTCAATTTTATGTTAATGTCTGTCTCTACTCGAAGCATTTAAAGCAACGAAAAAAAAAATTCATAACGAATGAACGAATGAAGTTTTTATAAATGCAGGTAGTTCCAGAATGAAAACACCGTAAGTTCGATCTACATGCAATAAGTACACTATGGTGCTATTTAGACAGCCGGAGAATAACGGACGTAAGTAGTGTGCGTACAGTATGTAATGTATAGTGACTACGAGACTAGTGACAATAAGATTCGCGAACGGACTTTACGCAGCTGTTTGCCGTTCCGGGAACTTTATGAGTTGTGCCAATGGCAGCAATGACAAGTTTGTGATGGCCGTTGCCAGCTTACGGGAAAACGCGTTTACGTGAGATTATCGAGTGATCCACGAGTGACAAGTTGCTTGTGTCGATTAGTTTTAAGCGTCAATTCGCAGTGAAGCCGTCAGCCAAGTCGACAAAGTGTAAAAAGGGTGGGTTGTGCTGTTAGTGGTAAAACATCAACCTTCGGAATCAGTCCCGCGATCTGCCGGATCTTCTATTGCCTGCGTCTCGCGCTTCGCGCTACCTCGCGCTTTTGCAGCCGCGCACTCGGCCTTGGCGCCTCTCTCTCACTCACTCCCTCTCACTCTCTTTCTTTCTCTCTTCCTCCCTACCTCCATCCCTCTCTCTCTCTCTCTCTCTGTCTCTCGATCTCTCTTACTTTCTCTCTCTGTCTTTCACATATTCTCGCTCACTCATCACACATACACGTACTCTCTCTCTCTCTCTCTCTCTAATTCCTTGCCTCTCGGTTTAGCGCGTGCGAACGTACCATTACCGCCACTGATTGTAACGCCAGACTCCAGTGTTTTGTGCTTACGAGTTGCGTGTGCTGATGTGATAGTTCGCATCTCGCGCGGCGCGCCGCCACACATACATGTACATCGTACTGTTCAAGCGCGTTGTGCAGCTGCTGCCAAGGCACCCATATCTGCACCTTGTGAGTGTCATCCTCCTTGTAGTCAACGTCTTCGTTGCTGTCGTCGAAACATATAGTTGGATATCTGGTCTTTACCTTTTCTTTTGTTTACGCCTTGTCACCTCTCTTTGGGTGTCTCTTGCATTCTCTCTCTCTCTCTCTCTCTCTCTCTCTCTCTTGTGTTTTCTTACTCTCCCCAATTCGCTTTTCTTTCTCTTCATTTCTCTCTCTCTCTCTCCTCCTCCCTCTTCATCCCGTCCTTGTTTGTTCTTCGTGTCTCTTTCTCTCCTTTTCCTACCCTCTCTCCTATCCCTCTCTTTCTGTCTCTCTCTGTCTCTCTCTCTCTCTCTCTCTCTCTCTCTCATTTTCTCCTACCGTCTTTCTCTCTATATAATGTGCACTCTGCAGATTCGCGTACGTGCGTGCGTGCGCGCGCGTGCCTATGTGAGCGCATGTAAGTGGGAGCTTTGTTGTGTGTACATATATAGATATTGTATACTTGCGCGTTTGTTGTAACAACTGTGACGTTGTGTCTGCCTTGAATTGAAAAAAGATGATACTGTTGGAAAACAATGCATCTTCCAGTGAATCCTCGAGTGTTTTTGATGTAAATAACGAATGTGGGTAAATGGAGGAAGGGAAGCCTGTCGCGTGTACGTTTACGCGCGCGCACGCTCCTGTAGTGCGCGCGCGCGCGTGAACACTCGATCGCGCGCGCGCGCGCGTGTGTGTGTGCGTGTGAGCCTTGCCCCGACCCCCGATGGCCCTGACTCCCGAGACTCGATACTCTCGAGATTTCAGTCCTGAGACGGTGAAACATCTTGTATTCATATAGGTGCACGCGTACACGCGAGGCATTTCCTAATCATCGGCCGCGCTACGACTTATAACCTCAATTCTTTAAATTTTTCCAGCTGGTAATCTTTACTATCGATGCAAGTGTTTTGAGCACACAAAATTAATTTTGCGGTTATTTTTGGCCTTTTTCATATGTAATTTGAATAAGATTTACAAAAACCGCATGTACTCACTTTGCTGACTCTTTAAATTCATTTGATTTCTTTGCTCCTAACAAATTGGAAGGATCCATCATTTTCCAATGAACATTACTCGTAACATTTTCATTCAAAATATTTGTTATTTTTCTAGTATTTTCTGTTTTTCAATTGATATTCTTTTTTGTTGCAGTACAGTCACACTCGGCAGATGCATGCTTCATAATTGGCTTCACCTTGTTCCATACAAAGATCTCAACCTAGGATGAAATGTTCAGAAGCTACTTATCCTTATTACTTCCTGAAACAATGCCTACCAAATACTTTTGGCTTCTTGACTTAGGATAGTTCACAGCAAAATGGTTAATATTAGTAACAATGTGAAAAGTAATTAGCCATCAATAGTTTTTAACTACGAGAATTAATTTATAAAGTATAGCCATTATACCATCGTTTGTTTGGAATGATATTGTTATACCAATAGTATATATTAAGTAGTGTGTATAAATGGGTGAAATTTATAAGCAAATGCACTTGAGCAACAAGTTACAATGTAAACATTACTCCACAGTCTACCTGTTTTTTAATGGATAATGTACTTCATGGAAGAAGATGTTAAACAAATTGATATTTAAAATGTGCAAGTGTGGTTTTAATCAAAAGAGAGATGTAGCAGACTTCTGTATTAGTGTTTGTGATAGTAGTCCTTGATAAGGGAATGCTTGTAAGAATACAACGACCAGTAGGAGTATCTACAGAAACTACATGCATGTCAGGAATAGGCAATCTTGGACGTAAACGCGTTGAATGGCGTCGCAACGCCAACATAAAAATCAATCAATTTCTCTTTCCAAGAAGTATTAGCCTACAAGGTTGGTATATGTTAATAAAACAATTTGTGATTATATTAAATGAAACATTGTATTTATATAGGCATACAGTTAGAGAAAAGTTAAAAAATATAATAGGGGAACTATAAGGTAGCTAAACGCTGCCCAGAGTTTCGAGGTGCTGCGTGGGCATGCAGCAGCCTCAGTCACGCCCTCTCCTCGGGGACTCTGTATCCTCTACAACATCCCCAACAGCACGTCGTAATAATAATCCTGTTGCAGTCCTTACCCAACAACAAGTAATTTACAAAGTTTAAAAATAAATATCAGAATCTTTTGATTTACTTATGTTATATTATTTTATATTATTTTTCAGTTACAACAGTTACAACAACTGCAATCACAAAATTCTGGTCCTCAGTCTGTGACATTTACTCTACAGCAACCATCTGGTGGGGTTAGTATTGATGTATATTAAAATATTAGAATTATTTATAAATGCTTTGTTATTCACATGATATGTATTTTATTTTTAAAATATTTTTGTATTTAGAATCAAGAGCAAACAAGTGGATCTACAGCTGGAAATCACATACTCTATGTTAACCAGTTGAACCAGTTAAATCAAGGTCCCATTAATCCTTCTGGGACTGGTATGGGCCTACCCCCGGCCACCCCCACTTTTGGGGTGGGCCTTAATATGGGACTGCCTTTATCACTTTTAAATACAAATCTTACGTCATTAACTTCAAATGCCATAACAACATCAAATCCGTTGCTTAATTTAAGCCTTCCCAACATTAATTCGGGTCTAACAGCAATAAATTCTAGCATAAATCAATTAAGTGCTTTAGGCACAAATCTTAACTCAAATTTACCATCGGACAGTATTAGCAATGGGTTATCGAATCTTGGACAAGATTTATCTGGTATGAACTCTGGCATAAATCAATTAAACACATTAAATTCTACTAGTATCAGTTCTGGACTCTCTAATATCAGTGCAGGGCTTACAAGTGTTAATCCAAATCTAACGAGCTTAAATACAACTGCAATAAATCAAAATCTTGCCACTATTAATGCAAATTTAAATGCAACAAATTCCGGCGCATCTACTTTGAATACTCTTAATTCTAATATAAATTTGTCCACCAATAACATAAATTCAGCTCTAAATCAGCAAAGGCTTAATAGACCATTGAATGCTATTGCAAATTTCAATTCAACAAGCAGTAGTACACAATTTCCTTTCCAAACGATTCAGAGTATACAAAGTATTGCTCCCCACATAGTTGGTTCCAATATTGCAAATGTAAGTTCTGCTATATCGCAGAATCAAAATAGTAATATTACTTCAACTGTACAGTCGACAAATTCTGGATCTTCGAGTGCTACTAGTACATACACTAGTACTTGTAGTGGACCAATCCTTGCCACAACTAGCAATGCTGCTCATGGAGCAAGTACTAATCAACAAATAAATGTATCTCAATTTGGAATTATGAGCTCTAATATGCCAAATGTTATAACACCGCAAGTTAGTACAAATGAATCTAATCCAAATTCTTCGATTGGTGCTGGATTTCAACGTCAGTTTTCAAATCAAAATTTGAGTCAATCTACTGGTACAAATCAAGCTTCAAATTCAGTCATTCCTAATATAAAAACAATGCAGGGTATTCAAAATCAAACGAGTACCTCACCAGGTAGTCCATTTTCAATACCAATGAAAAGTCCAGCATCTAATATTGCTCCGCCAACTCCAAGTCCCAGTCCAAATAGATTATTACTTAGAAGTCCTGCGTCTAATTCTATTCAATCAAGAAATAGTCCAAGTCCTGTTTCTGCTGGAACAGCTAATACGAATTTTGGAATGCAGCTACAAAGTCCAATGCAAAGTCCCATTAGCGTTGGTCAAATTCAAAGCCCAGTGCCCAGTCCTTATCCTCCTGCTAAAAGTCCTCACCATTTAGGAGCTGGAACAACTTTAAGTAATAAAAGTCCTGCACCAGGAGGAAGTCCAGGTCCACCTGTTGTAAGATATTTTTATTACTAATATATCGCTGTAATAAACATAAAATTAATAAACATACATTAGAAAAATTTTTAAAATAAATCATTTAGGTGCGACCCAATACTCCAATTTTACAGCAAGGTATGCAAGTTTTACAAATAATTCATGGCACTCCTCAAGGATATCAACAGGCACCTCAACTAGTTACCCGAACTCATTTGTTTGGTAATCAGCAAATTCAAATAGCTGCAGCAACTAAGCCTAATAAGCAGCCACCTCAAATACTACCAAAACCACCATTGCAACAGGCAAATGTTGGTCAGCAAAAACAGCGTGTGACTACCACTATAACAAATCAGGTATTAATTAATATAAGTAAAATATTACCAGTAAAGTGTCGTTAAGTATTATGTGTCAATAAAGTGTCATCAGTTTACATTATCTAGATTACTAATCAGGTTAATAAAATATTATTTTCAAAATAAAATATGTACTTTGTCTCTGTCATTTTTTTTTATTTATAAAATCAATAATCTTACTTGTGTAGGTAACCCAACAATCGCAACCTCAACTCGTTTTAGCAGGCCCTCAACCAAATCCACCAACAGCTACTATGATACCGACTGCTCAAGGTCTTCTTTTGAATCAGGTTATTATTTTATAATTACTGTCATTGCTAGCATGTTTATATTAGTACGCTTGCAATTTCATATTAAATACAAAACTTTAATGCTCATTTTTTCATGCTTTTAATTTAAGTGTTCAAGTACTAGATCAATCCATTTATTCATAAAAAAAGCTTATCATTAAAATTCTAATAAACTCCATGTACATCTTCATTACTTTTCGGCCTAATATATTACGGATAATTTTTAAATATAATATGTTTACATGCGCATTTTTTCTGAGCATCAGAGTTTCATTACCGAACTCAAAAACAAACCAAAATAAAAAAAGAATCTGCGTCGAATTTAACGCGGGGCATCGTAATGTTTTTTTTTTTATTATTCGCTTTGGTAATAGGTATTGCCGTCTACTGGACCAGTAATCGTACAGCAGCAACCAGGTGGCGTTCAGCTGATTCTTAGGACTTCAGCAAACGCCCAACAACAAACACATACTGCACAGGTGATGGTTTCATCCAATCGCACATTCATAATCATGGCCTAACATTTCTTGCGCAAATATTCTTTATTGTTCATATTAACTTCAACTTTAATAATAAATACAATTGGCAAGTATGAAGAACATTCATTGAGCTTTTCATGTGCTTTATATGCTATTATGCAGAACTATTCACAAACATTAAAATATTTTCATACATTTCTATTAAGGTTAATCTTAAAAAATTTGTTAAGAATCTATGAAGAAGTAATTTAATACTCAATACTGCATACACTAGGATTTCTTAATGGGAGGTAAAGGAGGAGAGCTGTAAAAAGCATTGACTAGATCAACGGTTAAATATATCTTTTAAAATAGACATACAAACATTTTTTTAATTATTTGCCTTATATGTTACAGTTAACACAGCAGCAGTTAGTAAGAGTTGTTACTGCACAAGGTATGCAATTGCAAGGTCTTGCGCCGACCTTTTTTGCTGTACCCAATGGTTTTCCTTCTTCAGCACCACCAGTAATTAGGCATACACCTTCTAGTCCAGCTCCTCGTAAGTGACTCAAATTGATTTAATTATAATTTTTTAAGTCTAAGCTACTCTAAAATTGAAAAATATTTTTTCAATAGCGAATTCAGGGAATAATGGTTCAATAGTAATACAAAATACAATGGTGCAAAATTCACAACCACAAATAACACAAAGTACTACGATTAATGCATCTGCAAACGTTCAAAATGCACAAACTCTTATCGATCAGAGCTTGCTACCTCCACCAAAGAAAAAAGCTAAGAAAAAGAAGAAAGCAAAGAAGAAAGATGAAGAGCCACCAAAACTGGATCTTGCTAGCATTATGAAAATATCAGGCATCGGAGATGACGATGATATTTTTGACAATGATCTCACAACAGAAGTTGAAGCATCGCCTCATTCTCAAGTGGAAGTAAGCCCTGTGCAAAATTCACCTCTTGTATCAATGCCAAATACTTCTGTTCAGCAAAATGTGGTTCAAGTACCTGTTTCAAGTACGACAAATGTACTTCAAGCAAACCCCACGCAAGAAAATTACAATTCAAGTCATTTAGTCGCACAAGTTCAGACACCTGTACAAAATGTCATTTCGGGACAACTAAGATTAGCCATTGGTGAAGATGGTAGAGTCGTACTGCATCACACACCAGATCCAAATCAGCCTGAAATCGATCAAGCAACTGCTCAAGCTTTAATAAGATCTTTAACTCAAAGTGGCGGTCAGAATTCTCAAATTATTTCTCAACTTTTGCAAGCTCAGTCAATGTTACAAACATCACAAAATACAGCTAATAATAGGCAGAAATTTGTAAAATCACCTGTATCTAATACTTTAACAACGGGATCACCCTTAACAAGTCCATCGAGTTCACAAACATCAATAGTCAATCCACAACAAATCCATCTTAATTCTAGTTCAGGCAATATGCAAAATTTTAATGTTGCCAACATTGCACAAAATCCTCAGTCTATGTTAACTGCTACGGTACAAGCATGTAATGCTCACTCTACTGTTAATACAAGTTCGCAAAATTTAGGTCAATCAGCAAAAAATATTGTTGTTTCAAGAAAAGTATTTGATGCTAAAAAACAAACTATTGTTGACGTTAAATCTACAACTTGCCAAAAGACTAATATACAAAGTGCCCGATCGATAGGACCAAATCAAATGATCACTATCAATCAACAACAAGCTAGTAATATTCAACAAGCAAAATGTAATCAAACAAGAGTTCGGAATACCTCTATCAATTTAAATCAACAACAAAATATTAATAAACAAATGGGAACTCAAATTCAAAAGCCTGTGCAAAGCTGTACAACTATTCAACGTAATGTTCAGTTAGTAAAAAATAGTCAAAATCAGTTACAACAAATAAGTATTCAAGATGATGGCTCTTTTGTGCCTCAAAATTCATCTATATATCATCAGAATGTTGCCCAACAAGTATCTGCATCTCAAACTGTCCAGACACAAAATGTACAGCACATATTTGAACAGAATTTGCAACAAAATGTTGGCACTACATTACAAAGAGCATCGAGTGATGGTGTTAAAATTGAATCAATAAATGTTGTTCAACAAAGTAGTACTGGTAATCTTCAACAACCACCGCAGCAGCAAACTGTTAATCTTCTTCAACAAAATATTGGCAGTAATATTCAGTCAATCGAACAGAATTTACAATTTGGTAATGATTTGCAGCTTTCACAGCAACAAAATATGCAACAGGCAAGTGCAAATAATGCAAGGCCACAAAAATTGAAGTCAGTCAATACAAGTCCAGCAAATAATCAATCATTTGAACTTCAAAATCTCCAAGCGAACATCTTGATTTCAAACTCCCCCTGTCCTACGCAACAGCAAGAGCAACAAAAAACAGAAACACAAAATATATGTAATATGAATTCTTCTGCAGCATCGATATTAAATAGTGCGCCGAAAATAACTCCAGAAATATTAAATGCTTTAAGTAACTTAAATCCCAACGATCAACTTTTGATTGCTAATGCTAATGGACAGATGCAAGTGATTAGTCAGCAATTGTTACAGCAGTTTTTATCAGGACAATTCAATGCCCAAGCTCAAGCCCAAGCCCAAGCCCAAGCCCAGGCTCAGGCTCAGGCTCAGGCTCAAGCCCAAGCTCAAGCTCAAGCCCAAGCTCAAGCACAAGCCCAGGCACAACATCAACATCAACATCAAAATCAAACACAAACACAAAAAATAGTTATAGGCGATCCAGATTCCAACAATCCAAATTTACAAGAGGTACAGATCAATACACCAACGAGCCAAATAATAGTAAATAGTTCTGGTGGAGCTCCTACGATACAAAATAATATTCAAAACATTGTTGTACAAGCCGCACCGACACAAATGCCACAACAAATACAAATCCAAAATTCTGGCTTTCCAAGTCAGTTTATCGATAATTTAAATCAGCAACAAATTCGCAATCTCGGTAACAGTGCGGTGACGAATCAGAATGTGAATCAAAGTTGTGTCCCCAAGAAAGCAAAAATGGTTAAACGAACGAAAGTGTTGACAGTGTCTCAGCAAACAGGAAAATCTGTGAGTGTTTCGCGCCCATTGATCGTCACAACAGCTACAGCTACAACAACGACTACAACAACAACAAGCGTTTCTTCGCAACAGAAGCTAGAGACACCTAATAAAATGCTAAATTTCCTAGCGCAAGTTGTCGATAGCAATAAGAACGAGTCACCACAGCTCGTTACTGTTAATGGACCACTCACTTCCCTGTCCCCCAGTTGTCAAGTGCCTATTTTATCAACTGGTCAAGTCGTCCAAAGGGTACAAACCATACAGTTGAGTTCACAAAAACAACAGATGCTTACTAGTAATCAAGCTCAAATTCGGACTATTTTGGCACGAAAAACTAATTCTCAAGCAGATCAGCTTGTTTTGACCAAATTATATCAAGAGCAGGCGCGAATTTTGGCTAGTGGTAAGATTATCAGTAGTACTTCACACCCGATTAACAGTGTAAGTTCCATACTATGTTTTGTTATTGTATTTTTACATTCAAAATCGAATGATCGTACTTCATTGGCCTCTATATGTATAGGAATCCGAGACTACTATAAGTGTGAATGTAGTATCTTCAAGCAGTTTGACATCATCGAGTACCATTGCTCAAACGGCATGCAAAAGTCAGACATCAACGGCTCAGACTCAAACTCCAGTATCAACTCATACCTCAATAGTAGTAGCGAATTCGCAAAATGTTAATTTAACTACGTCGTCTCCTAATAACGTATATCTACCCAATATTGCTGTAAGTAGACAAAACAAAATTATATCAAAATTAACTGGCTTATTTAATTAAAAGTGGGCGAAATTTAATTAATTATATAGTGAAAATTGTGCATACACGCGTTTTGATAATATTGTTATTTTTTATATTTTACTTAGTTTAATAGAATATAAGTAAAGGAAGCAAAGTGTATTAATATCTGAATATTAAAAATAATATCTGAAAATTAAAAATAAAAAAATTCGTGCCTTTTTACGTTAAAAAAGAAAATCAGAAATATTTGTAAAATTGTACGCAGGAATAGTTTGATATTTTATTTAAAATAGTCTCCGAATGTTAATTTGATCTAACTTAAGATACCCGAGTGAAACTGACTAAAATAATGCATAACTGATCGAACAATGAAATTAGATATTAAAGTAAGATTTTTATTAATATCAATATCATGTCGATGAAAAATCGATAAATCGATGAAGTGGTGGCAAATAAGATGTAAAATATTGATTTTGTCTTCCTGCTTAGCAGACTCAACGGGTGCAAAGTCCGCAGTTAGCAACTTCAATAAAGCAGCCGCAGCAACAGCTTCAGCAGCAACAGCAACAGCAGCAACAGCAGCAGCAGATTGAAGCTCAATCCGATAATGGCTCGGCACTTGTTCCGTCCAGCTCGAGTACAGACAGTTTCGATAGTTCCCGAGCAATGATAGAAGCTCAGCAAACGCAATGCCAAAGCGATCCCGTGGACATTAAGCCGAACATAGGAGCATTGAGTCCAAGTATTAAGCAAGAACTCGCTTCTCCGATTGGATTGCAGTGTCAGAATACTTCGCCTGCGGGACAGGTGATGTCTCCTCGAATGGCCGGTAAATCTCAACAAAGTTCCCAAAGCAAGCTTTTGAGCCCCGATAATCCATCGTCGAGTCCAAGGCAAGGCGTTAAAAGAACATCAAGCTCCAGTCCTGTGCGTCGACAAGTCAATAGAAACGATCTGTGAGTTCTCATTGCCACAACTCCACCACTAAGAGTGATATTTATCCACAGCGGTATTAATTTTATTCGGGCGTTTAAAAATTTTGTTGTAGATTCGAACAACAATTGAAGATTGATCAAAATGGTGCAACGAATCCCGACGTCAATACGCCCTTCCAAAGTAAACGCGATGCCTGCAAGCGTCTCGTCAGGTATCATTGTTTCAACGAGCAGGTGCTTAGCTCCAAGGATCTGGAAAAGGCCGACGAGATTTTCGAAGAAACAGCCAAGCATTTGTTAAGTAAATTTAATTCAATGATGAACAAGTACACGTATCTCTTGATAATGGAGAGCATGGTAAGAAATAATTTTAGCGAATTGTTGGAAAGGCTAGGCGATCGACAGGGGAGTCAATAGAAAGACGAATTTTTTATAATTTTTTTAGCGCGAGACCAGAACGTCCGAGCTTATGATGATCGATCGCATGATCGTAAACGAGGAGCAGGTGACGTTGAATAGGTTGCGCGAGCAGGAGGCCAAGGCGACAACGGGTAAGGGATCGGCTTTCGAAGTAATGCAAAGCAGGCGACTTTTATCTCCGTAGGTTCGAAATAATAATAATACTATGAATTATATTGTAGAAGACGTGAAGCCGGAGGAGAAACTGCTGGTGCCGAAGCTCGAGCCAGGTGCTGATTCGGAAGCGTGTACGGAACCGAACGCGGAACTGGCGCCCGAGAACGATCTCGGAGCCTCGGTGAAGCTCGAGCTTGATATGGAGGTGGGTTTGGGCAAATCAGCGGCCGATTACGACGAGTGGCTCGAGATCCAGAAGGAACTCGGTGTGTACGCCTCAACGGAGCTGGGGCTGGGTAGCAAGTGCCGGGGCAAGGCGGGTAGAGCCCGAGCGAATGGCGAGGCCCGGCCGGCGAGCGAGGCAAGCGCCTCCGAGCTCGAGCGCGATCTGCTCGAGGACACGGAGAGCCTCGATGGCCTGGCTTTGTATGCGCAAGCTGGCCAGTGTCCCGCGCAGGTGGTCGAGCGGCCCGAAGAGCATGACGACATCACCGCCCAGGTGCAGTCGGCCATCGATAGCATCCTAAGCTTGAAGAAGCCCGCGGCGACCCAGCCGCCGCCCGACGAGCCGAGCGACAAGCTGTTGGATCAGGCGGTGCGCAGCATCCTTGGCTCGTGACCCTCCTCTAGCAAGGTTTATTAAAGCCAAGCATTCGACGTCTGTGCGCCGACGCCCTTTATCCGCCATTGCCAATAATAGCGCTCTCGGCCTTTATACATATGCGCGCGGCTCGCGGGGCTACTTTCTATAAACGGCCTTCGCTTTAGCACGTACTCGTGTCGTTAGATAGTTAACTTATCGGCTCGGACATAATTCCCGAGCAATTTTTAATGTAATTTTGTAAAAAAGATCTATTTAAAAATGATTTATTCCAATTTAAGTCGCATCACATTAGTACGTAAATTTAAAGGTAAAGAAATTATGGCGTATATAAAGTGAAATTCGAATACTTAAAGAAATTTCGGACGGGTTGATGAATTGTACATATGTTTTTAATATGTATTATTATTATTATTATTATTATTATTATTATTATTATTATTATTATACTTTACCATTATTGTTATCGAGATTTATTCTCAGAATAATTGTAAACTGCAACAATTGTACATTTTTTGCATCGCACTTAAATCGCGATCTCTGGTATAATAAATAAAGATAGCAGAGACTGCTATGAAGTGAGAAGAATTAAGGATGATTAAAGATATTTTGGAAATAATGTTCTGATCGAGGGAGTTGAGGAATAAGACACGTAAAACTAGTCCAAGAACGTAATTCATTACTTCGAAAAATTTTGTAAGAACTCAATCTCCTGTATAATATATAGATTTGTACAATTTGAAGTTGCCATCATTTTGAAATGTAAGAGTTAAGTTTCGGCGAAATAAATTTCTTCGTTATTCATTTTTCATACTAATGGATTATGTAAAGAGTCATTCCACTGCTATGAGCTCTAAATTTTTAACATTGATTTTTATTTTTCGAATATATATGATTTTAAGAGTATGTTCACAAATGTTCAAGGTCAAATTGCGAAAGTAGAATGCATCATTGATAAGAAGTTTATATATTATATCAATTTATATAAAATCTTTAATCTCATTTCTCTCTAATATTATTCAATTTCCGATAGAATTAATTTTGAAAGAGATTTTTTAATCCGACCGATTTACAATTTATTTTAATATAATCTACCGTTTCTGAATCTGCCTGTCTTAGAAACCGGAAGCATTTTTCTAAATTATTTTTTCATTGTTTTTTAGATTACAAAAGATGAAAAGATAGTTGGATATTTGCGTTATCAATCAATTTTGTTATTCCTATATTATTAATTCTTATTAATTTTAGCTCCTGTGATAATTAATACAAATTTTTATCAACAATATTATCTTATTTTTGTCTTATATGCATGGCTTTATTCACAATTGTATCTTTTGTAGAGATATATTATTATTACCCTTTAATAATTTACTATTTAAATGAAAGTGAACACACACGGATATATAAATAATTTAAAAAATACTTTTGTTTTTACGCAATGTAAAATAATGTAAGGCAATATTTAGTTCAAATGATGTTTTCTTTTAAAAAATGTGTTTGTTAAAGCGATATTAAACTACAGCGTATAACAGTGGCGGTGCTTTTTATAGAGAAACGAAAAGCTAAAGTTTACTATAAACACCTTACTGATTTACATTTAATCTTGACTCTTACATTTAGTTAAAAAATTGTTGTTCTATTCGTCGATAATTCTAAATTGCAAAAATCAAAGTTTGAAAAATGTATAATTTTCAAGTTCTTGAGTGGTTTGAACGTCTTTTTAGATAAAAGTTTGCACTTAGATAATGTTCAAGATGACGTTTTTAGATCGTACGTGTGCGGAAAAAGGATACTCGATGTATAGTTTTAATAAAACTTTATTGAATGTTTTTCAAACGAATGCGCGAAAATTTCTTATAATTATTTTAAATTTAAATTATTGTATCATCCTGAGTGCATTCTGAAGTTTGGGGCACTTTTAATTATATTGACGGGGGGGTTTTTTTTTTCTTCTCTTACGTATTATTTCTACTTGGAATCAATGCGTTTTAAATAATTGAACATCCTTTTTCAAAGCGCGGGTATGGAAGAATGCAGATATAACAAGTGAGCAGCTAATGCACACACGCACGCACACTTGTGGTAGCCCTCGATGTACACAGTGTACAAAGAATATTCTTCTGCTAAATAAAAATAAAACTTATCCAAGACTGACGTATATACTGATAATGAAATGCGAAATATTTGATGTAATAAAGAAACGAGTACCGTTCATTTGTACATAATATTTAATTACACTCTCGACGGCGGCGTGACTTATTACTTTATAAATGCGACAGGCTTTGACCGTAAGAATAGTACTTTAGTTCCTTTCAACAGTTTTCACATAATTTTTTTTATTTTTTTTTTTATTTTTATTTTTACCTTTATATATGCTCTCGGCAAATATTTGCTTTTTTCAGTCATTTATTGAACATACGCGAATGCACGCGTGCACACTACGCAAACACGCGCGCGCACATGCAGAGCAGACAGATAGAGAGAAAGAAAGCCGATTGCGCGATCTATACTTTCCGATAATGTTTGTACACGCGTCAATCGACAAATTGTAGACAAATGCATAATCGAACGGCACAATTCAAACTATTTAGCGAAAGCTATTATGTTCCTATGAGATGCAAAACAATTGTAGATACACTGTGATCCCATGGTAAGCTGCGGTATAGAGATAATATTTTTATTTAATTAGATATTTCGTCTTTTTTTCTTCCGCTTGGCAACATTTCAGAATAATAGTTTAATAATTAATTATCATTCTTTCGTGAACGTAAATTATAATGAATAAAATAAAAGAAATATTGGTAAAGCTCGCCAAGAAGAAACGAAGACGTACGCACGTCGAAATAAAATTTGTGTAGTTAAAGATTTTTAATAATTAATCCTATTAAGCCCAGCTTGCAACATATCCAAACTAATAAATTTTCATAGCTAAAAGTACCTGAATCATTCTAAAGTTTCACTAGGACACTTGCAGTCACTATGGACTATTTAACCAGTGTCAAAAGTTGAAGTTTCATAAGCGAGTCTATATTACACGATACATTTTTCAATGTTTTATCGCAATAACATTTAAAGAAAATGCAATAAGAATTAAAATAAAACAAATGATGTATATCAAGACTCATTGTATGCAATCAGTGTGTATGTTATTTATAGGTAAAGTACAAATTTTTTGGTACACGCACTGAAGTGTCGAACAATCGACGTTCATTTATTCCAAATTAAAAAAAGTAGTGGATTGTGTTTTCAAAACAATTATTATGCCGAAAGTAATGTAATCTTTCATAATGTGTATCTTTTTAGGAACATAAAGCAAGTACTTGGCAAGCTCGTTAACTTCCGAGACCTTACTTGTGTCCTCTGTTACGAGGAATATATGTACTATTTTCGTATTTATTCAACTGAAAATATAACTTTCATATTTTCTTTTTTGAATTACAATCGATAAAATAAACTTATACATACATTTTTATATATTATTTAAAACTTTTAATAAATTTGTAAATAAAACCACAATATTTATTTTACGCGTTAATTAAATTTTGTTCTCCTCGTCATGGGTAGATAAACTACTGTTTTGTCAACGTCTTTTTTCCTTCAAAGGTGCTTGCATTTAATGGCTATTATTTTTCCTTCATTCCGTACGATCATGCATAATATACAACATAATAAAGAAAATTTATTGGTGTGATATGTAATAATAATATCAGTATAATTGTAATACTAAAAAGAGCAAGTGTTTAGGTCAAATAGTTGAACTTGTACTATGGTAGTACTATGCTGGTTTCTTTTATTCATATCGTTATTTTAATGGTATGAATGAAATGAAAGCAAAAATCATCTCGTTTTAAAATATATAAGCAAAATTTTAATTCAATTATTTTATGGTGAACTAAATCTAATTAAATTTTCAAAGTACAACAATTTTAAAATGAAATAAGCCAATTAACATTTTATCGGTGGCATTCGTAAGCAATTTTATTCAAAAATTTAAAAAAAAACAGCAAGATTCATATTCCTTGAAGAAAAAAAAAACAGATCTAAACAATTTTTAAAATAATTGTAGATTACGCTTAGATTTTAAGAAACGGAACAAACGATAAGTGTTCACCTATTGTAAAACTATTCTCCTATTATTATTTAAATGTTTCTCAATAATTATTGTTGCGATGAATAATGCTAGGTACATGTAATAATAAGTATTATTATTGTACTATTAAAAACGAGTTGTTTCGTCTGTATATTAGATTTAAAATAAGAAAAAATAATTTTATAATAAAATACTAATTTGATCTAAGTCTTATTTCTAATTTACAACCCAATATGATTCAAAAGGTCAAGCAAGGATAGGTTAAAAAAAAAAAAGAAGCGTATGTTAAATAGTAGAACAACTCAATTGTTTATTTATATCGATCATCCTATTTACATGTTGACAATTTAATTTTTTCATGACATGGGAGTTTTAAATGTATTCAATTGATTTTATTAGTACAATACACTGATTACCACCCATTACAGTAATAATTACCTTTCGAAAATGAATAAAAACTTTAACTAAACATTAAATATCAATTGTAGGTTAAAATATTTATAAAAATTAGTTCTTGAATATTTAAAAAGGCAATTAAATTTACCTAGTTATTTTTTTTGCTAGTTTTTTTTCTTCAAATAATATTTTTAATTTATTTTTTGTATATATTGAAACATTAGGAAATTTGTCTAGTTTATTTCTTTCTCTAGTTTTTTTTTTTTTTTTTCAATTAGATGATGCATATTTAAAAAATACAGAATATTTATGATACTCCATATTTCTTCTTTAAAGATGCTGGCATTTCTGGTGGAGGAGGACGTGGCATGCGCAGCCACACCTTCACAGCATCATAAATAAACCATTGAGCAGCAGTAAGTGTACCAATCATAACGATTCTGGGTGCTAAGCCTTTCCACATGCCACCGAAACCTAATTTCTTTAATACATCAACGGCACTTGCTCCTTTTTCTTGATTTAATTTGGACACCACCTGATTAAATACACAAAATATAATATGTGATTATATATATATATATATATATATATATATATATAAATATTTATATGTACAAAATAAGATATGCATATAAATAAATTATTGTGATATAGAAAGAAGATTGCAGATATTAATATTTTCTAAGATAATACAAAATTTTCCATTAATATTTATAATTCCAAAAATTCTTTAAATTCTTTGAAGAGACATCTATCTTAATAATTATTATAAAAATTACAATTGAAAAATTTTTTTTAAACAATATATTTTTAAATATTACCGAATCAGCTGGGTGTGATACAACAGCACAGAAAACACCAGCAATATAACCAGCAGCAAATGTAACAAGTAATTGTTCTCCTTTGGTACAATCTTGACGTGGCTTAGGTACAACAAATTTATATAGTAGTTCAACGGTACGCTCAAAACAGGCGAACTTCATCATTGTATATGGAATTTGACGAAGCCATAAAGGTACCAGCCCTTTATAGAATCCAGATAAACCTTCTTCTCCATATATTTTTGGCATTGCCTCTCGTAATGTATTAGCAAAGCCAGGTGTGGTTTGTATTTTTACCTAAAACGAACGTATAATTGTAAAACGTTGTTTATAATTTATAATTACTTTATAAATAAATATCTTTATATTAGACAAATTCAATACTCTTGGGTGATTAATTATTGAAATTCCAATAGCTACTTTAATTAATAATTTATGAAATAACATTTACTTTAATAAAATTAATTCTTTTCATTTAATTACATATAAATTTGAAAAATCAATTGAAAGGAAATTGTAAAATAAAATGAAGGCAAAAGTATTTTTTATTCTTTTGCTTGCAAATACATTACATAAGAGAATTGTTATTTACCTTGGCAGCTTCAAATGGCGCTAATCCAATATCAGCGAAAAATTCAGCTGAAGCAGAAGATACCAAATACAACGATGTTCTGTATTCGTAAGACATTTCTTCACCAACTAAATTTGAATATTGTACTTTAAAGACTTCATAGAGTCCAAATTTAAACATTCCCTGAATGGAATACCCAAAGAATGTAGGAGCCCAGCCCTTTACTAAACCTTTAACACCATCTTCAGCACGCGTTACCTATAAAAATATATATAGAAAAAATATGTTTTCGACTAGATTGAAAATGACTTTCGATTGTAATATGTGTGTTAACTTACACGGAATCCATTTAATACAGACGTGTATTTTTGAGGATTTACTTGAATACGACACTTTACTAAATCCAGGGGAGTAACCATTGTGTGAGTAAGACCACATGATAAAATACCTCCTAGACCACATAACATAAAGTAGTGATTTGATCCAAATTCGCAGCTATCTGTAAAATAAAAACAAATATTAAATATTAAATAGATGCGAAATGAATTATTGAACAAAGTACTTGTATACGGTATTATATAATTTCATATTGTAAAATGCGATTGGGACAGTAATAATATGAAAATATAGGGATTACAAAATTTTAAAAATAAATATACATGAAAACTTATCGTTAAAGTCGTAGCGAAGACAAAAGTTATATTTATTGAATTAAAAAAAAGTGATTAAGAATTTGTGAAAAAGATTAACTGTGATAAGGTATTCGTCACTGGCGAATGCTCATTCATCTGGCACAAGTTCAAGATCATTGGTCGTTGCCTTGAGCCAATTCGTCTTCGCAAAATCATTGACGATGGGCGTGAGCGCGTGTCTATTTATTTTTACTCATACTTTTCGCGTCTTTCCAAGGCTAGGAATTCGGTATTAGTTAAACGGCCGTGCATATTTGTAACTTCATTTAACAAAATGGCGGTCATTATGCAACTTTACTATTGGATTTTTTTTCACAACTTGCCTTCCCTCTCTCTATTTCTTTGTTCCAATAATCAAGCAATTTGATAATTTATTGATACGAATAAGTGATGTTACATAAAATTTAGCATCTTTCTCAATTCGTATTATTCATAATATTGATAAAATTCATAAGCATGGTTGCCCTTGACATACGCTCGTGCACGATTAAGAGTATCTAAATGGTGAAAATATTTATCATTTTCAATGAAATTAAGCATGTTTCTTTTCAAAATTATTTTTACGCGTCTTTACGTAAACAAATATTTTTGGAATGGAAACAATTGACAATGACAAATAACAATGATAAAAGTGATCTTTTAAAGCACTGGAACTTACCACCGGGTAAAGCGCTTGCAGCAGAAATGCTCCGACCTGTGACAATTCCCTGATTGTCCAGTGCTTGACGTTTGTCTAGCTGTGCCTGACGTATGCCCCCGAAGGGATTCGACTTCGCTGCTTCCAGAAGTGAGGACCACATTTTGTCTTCCAACTTTCCCAAAATTTTACTGCTACCGGGAAGAGTGGGTCGAGTTCGATCTAACAAATAAATATAAATATCGTTATAAGATGTTTATATAATAAAAAAAAAAGATGCTAAGGTACGCTCGGCCGTGCCTTCTCAGATCCACCTACCGTGGTGGGTGGAAGGAAAGTGAAGTTGATCAACTTAGGGCTTGAATCGGCAGCACGAGATTTGATCCGCTAACACGAGCCTCTACTTTTGACGATCGAAACTCGACAGTTCCCTAGCCACAATTCTTCTTTATGTATACTATCGCCCGTCGTTACCTGTGTCTATATTTCAAATTTCGTGTTCGCTAAAGTTCGGAGTGTCTCGAATTTAAATTTAAAATCTAAACCGACACCCTACATATGCGACTGAAACTTCTGATTTCCACCCCTATGGCCCTGTCGTCGTTTCAATTTCCTTTTGCAAAATTATATTCTTGCGTTAAGATAATGTTTTTAATTAGCTTCTATCATAATTGCAGATTATTGAAATTATAATTTGCTACATTTATAAATAAGGTGGTGCTTGGAACTAAGTCGTCGAAGATTAATGAACTGTTGAAAAAAAAAACTGATCGCTACTTATCTACAAGAAAAACAAGAGAAAAAAAAAAAAAAAAAAAAAAAAAAAAATTGATTTTTTAACAATTACACGTCGATTGTGAATAATTTTTATAAATGTTTAACAAGCCGTTAGCGCGTTTTTCTTACGAATAAGGCGCATGCGTCAATATTAAAAGGTAGGAAAACTAAAAATATTAACGGCGTGAACAATCTTTAACCATTACATTTATTTGATGATAATGACAGATTATTTTCCAATAAAGATTTAAAACGTCAATGATAAAACATTCTCGTTATTTGTTTATTTTATTGAGCCTTATTATTTGTAGTATAATTATTAAAGTAAAATTTTAAATAATTGCAATAATGTTAAGTCAATAAAAATTAAATAAAAGTATTAATGATAATAAATAAAAATTAAGTTAAGATTTAAAAATATAATTTTTTACAAATATACATAAGATAATAAGATACAAATCAATAATCTAGAAAACGTTTATATGAACGGATGAATGAAATTTTAAACGTAAATATTATTAAGTCCTTATTTATCATATAACGAATATCGAATACTTATGAATAATTAATCTTTACAAGCTCGTTTGTTCCTTCTGAAATTTGTTATAAAAAAAAAATAATTGAGGAGCATGTACTTTATCACGAGACACAATTACATAAAATAAAATCAATAATATGATGATCTGGACACATAAGAAATGATTTACTATACAATTTATTTACATAATTTCGGCGTCGGTGTCAATGCATATCTTCTTTTACTTAAATCTGTACTCCGTAATCTATTATATTGAATAATTTCATTGTAAATTTATTTAAACTAGTCATTGGCCAGATAATTTTTAAATTCTCTTATTTCATTTTTCGCTGATCAGTAAGGGTTGCTACTTTCTTCAGTTGGTGACTTTTTACGATACATTACTAACAGCTAAGTAATATTTAACTTACAAATATTGATGTAAATAAACTATCAGTATTTCATAATTAAAAATTAAGTGGAGTATGCACAGAGTGCACTCCACATTGATAACTGGACGTGTATAAGCAATATATTTCTTGATAGGTAGAATTTACTTAGAAGATAATAACAATCATTTGTCAAAACGAATTAAATTTAAAAAGTTTTCTATCAGCCTAATATGTATGTTTAGTCGACTCGATTTTCCAACAGTAACTATCAATTTTTTTTCAAAAGCATTAATTAACTTTATTTACTTGAATAGTTAGATTAATTATCTACAAAGCTGAAATCTACAAATTTAAATAAAATGCTGTGGAAAATATTTTGAAAGACTCTTTGTTTCTTTATCAATTTTCTTTCAAGGTAATTTCTTCTATATTCATAAAAACTCGATTTGTCATATCAAGAATTGGCTTCCAATAAAATATCTTTACTATTAATTAAAGTTGTATGATTTATCATGTGAGTCGATAATACTTTATTGAAGAATATTTGAAAGCATCGGTAGTTTTAATAAATAAATTATTATTTTAGTCATCTATTAGTTCAAATAAGTTATTTTGACAACAAAGTTCCAAATACACAAATAATTTTTATTTCATACAAATATTGAAAATATGTATATTGAAATAGGCCTTGGTACTGAATAAATATTTTTTTCTTCTTCAATGTTTAAGTGAAACTGTTATTTGTACATTTTTAACTACAAATTTACTTTTATTTTCATTAATTTATTATTTATTTATTAAATTCTTACTTTAAGTAAGAAAATCAAGCATATTGAATTACCGAGTCTTGGATACTTTTGTAATTTTTACACATGCAATATGCTTATTACGATATTCAGAGATTATAATGTGAGCATTATGGGTAATGGAAAAATATTTATTTTTAATGACTAAAATAAGCGCAAGTGTTGAATCAGATTGTCAACGTGTTTTTATTTATATTTTAAAATAAAATTGAAATTGAAATGTCTAACTTAATAATTATAATAAATTTTTTTTTTTTTTTTTTTTTTTTTTTTTTTTTTTTTTTTTTTTTTAACACAGCAGTGAATCCAGTTAAGGTAGCTATCTTTCAATTTTTATTATTATTTGATAGGTCGATAATGTGCAATGCAATGTTAGTTTTATTGACAAATCCAGTAGATGGTACGGATCCGGGAACATATCATGTTGCAGATAGAGATAGATTTTCATCACATTAGGTATTGTAAATTGTACATTTTGGTAATTACGATACGCTTGTGAGTGCACGCGTACGTTGTAATTTTCAAGTAAGAGTAGGAAATCCCAACGCGATATGCCAGTGCAATAAATATAGGTCGATCGGACTAAAGAAGGCATATTATCTTTAGTTTTATCGAAATTAGCGCGCACGAGGCGACCAATGATCGTAAAGCTATCACAGCGCAAAATCACGAATTCAACGGGATCCAGTCGTACTTGGCTCTGACATATAACAATTGGTTGGATTGGCGATGGCGATTGGTACCGGCGACAGGCGCCGGGTGGCAAGCGCACGCGTCGCGTGTCCCGTGATAAAATATACGAAAGTTTTCGTCGGTCGATTACAACGTTATCCAGCAAAAGGACTAACCAAACATTGGGCTACTGACATTGGATTTATCGTGCTTTGTCGGCTGGCATTCCGGCTTATTAAGTTTCCTTCGACTTGAGCTGACGTCTCATGCTGTGACTTAATACAGGCGCACTTTGATAAACTAGGGAAGTTCTATGAGTAAGAAAGAGAACGAGTGGCTCGGTCACACAGCGAAGTACTGCTTATTGCGCGCGTGCGCTTCTTGAAGTACTTGCAAAGTCTGACGCCTGTTGTGTGATTTTCGCTGTGTGAGTGAGTCCGAAATAAAGGAGTCACGCTCACGCTCCGCTTTTTTGAGAACATACGCGCATACCGGCAATATAGTCAGAGGTATTATTGAAAATCGTGATAGTTTTATTTTATCTAACTTTTAATTTTCTGTGCGTTCACTCTATGACTTTTGTTTACGTGTACACAATGCACTTTGTGCGTTATTGCACTAGCTTCTGTAGTTACATTTTCCGCCCAGCTACTTTTACCGCGCGTCTGAATGAAGACGTATACGCGGGGTTGTTACCTGTTTTTCTTCTGTAAATATCCTGTTGAGTCTTAATCCTGTTCTGATGCACGAGGCTACGTACATTGCTCACTTTACTGAGTTACACTCATAGTCAGAAGATGTTCTTTTACCATTTATTTACAAAGTTTATTTACCTAATTATAATCACCATTGATCAAATATAGTAGTATCGATTTTGGTTTTTAAATTTTGATTTTTAACGAGCGCCTACTTTTAGAGATGTCTGAATCAGATTTGCTGAGCAATGAACAAATTGATGGTCTGGATGGTTTGGAGAATGGGCAAGATGGGGATTCGATCATGCAGTGCGACGGAGTAAAGCGGGATTTCAATGAAACCAATATAGACGATCCAGTAAGTAATTTCATTGGATTTTGAAAATTTGAGAATTCAGTGATATCGATTTGATGCTTATGCTATAAGCTATTTCATTCGAAGTAGATTTATTGTTAAACTGTAAAGTGCATTGATCAACAGGAGCTGGAAGCAATCAAGGCACGCGTCAGGGAAATGGAGGAAGAGGCGGAAAAATTAAAACAGCTTCAATCCGAGGTTGATAAGCAAATGAATATGGGTAGTCCTCCCGGAGTTAGTAAGTTTAGAAATATTTGGTCTTCTTTCCCAATTCAATTATAAAAATGTTTTTAATTTTAAAAAATTTATCCACAGCTAGTCCTTTGAACATGTCTATAGAAGATAAAGTAGAAGTAGATGGTAGATCCATTTATGTTGGAAATGTAAGTAATTTGTAAAAATATTTAAATGATTCTACTTATGGATTTATATTGTATATGGTATTTCAAAGATGTATTTCTAATAAATGATAGAGAATCAAGAATATTGTTTTAAGTTGTAGATTTATAATATCTCATGCTATTTGAAATAATACTGTATACGCTATCGTATCGAATAATTTTATTCTGTAACAAAATTGCGCTTGTATAAATTGTAATTATACATAATCGTTAAATATTTTGATTTACTTCTTATTAGGTTGATTATGGTGCAACTGCAGAAGAATTAGAACAACATTTTCATGGATGCGGTAGTATTAATAGAGTAACTATTTTATGCAACAAATTTGATGGACATCCAAAAGGATTTGCATATATTGAATTTGCGGACCATGATTCTGTACAAACTGCAATGGCTATGGATGACTCAATGTTCAGAGGTCGTCAAATAAAAGTTGTGCCAAAAAGAACAAACAGACCTGGAATGTCGATGACAAATAGGTATGTTTAATTTATGTTTGCTAAATTACATTTTACCATGAAAAATCCTTAAATATTATAACAGTCGGATATTAATAAATAATTTAGAGGCCCAAGAGGAGTCAGAGGTTACCGAGGAGTAACTCGTGGTATCAGTCGTGGAAGTGCATACTTTGGATACAGACCTACTAGGCGTCCAAGGTAACCTAGTTTTGTACATTAATCATGGAAGTTAAATTTGATTATTATCAAAAGGTAAAATGATTGGCTTATTAATTATAATTTTATTGTTCAGGAGTTACAGGCGCGGATATTACATGCCATACTGACGAGTTTAGTCACAACTTCAATTTAAATGATATTAAAGTAAGTTTTCTACCAAAAGTACTTTCTTTATAGATCCAAATGGTTTCTTTAAATAATTTTTTTTCCTCCTTATTAACTATAGTGTATTAGGACTAACTATTATTAATATATATATATATATATATATATTAAAGTAATGACCATAATATTTCAATGCCTTAAAATAATTTCTACACAAAAATTATTTAATATTTTTAATGAGTTATTTTAAATATTAAATAATTTTCAATAATCATAGAATAAGAGTATTATAAATATTTTAATTATGCTGTTTTTCTATCCAATGTTTATATCTACATATTTATTTTTATAAAATCTTATAAAATACTTATAAAAAAAATATTTATAATTGATTTATTTTGTAAGTTATATTTAATAGATAATGTTTCGCACATTAATGGGTTGTAAAGAAATTTTCAGTAAATAATTTTCATCAAATATTCAAGTGCTAGAAATACAAATTTATTTTGCTTCTTATGATATGTCCACAGAAAAAAAAACACGATGGGGAAAAAAAGAGAAAGAGAAAGAAAAATACTTCATGTGAAAAGAAAAAAAGATTGGACAATGATGGGCACAATTATTCAATATTTGATGATTTTAGAAAGAGACAAAAAAAGAACCGCAAGCAGTACAGAAAAAAAGAATGAAAAAAAATTGTAGATCTACGGCCAATGAACATTGTAGTTCAAATGTTTTTGTTCAATTTTTAATAATAACTTTTATTTATATTTCTGCTTTATAATATCAAATTTTTGTTCTACAGGCATTTTATCTATATTCTAAAAGTATAAAAAAAAAATTTAAAAGTTAAAATTCAATAACAAATTATTTTCAACATCATTATTTTGTACATATTAATTTAAAATGTATATGAGAAGTAAAAAATAGTAGTTTCCTTTATATTTTGTTTATAATGCGATTGACATTATAAGCTTATTTACTTATTAGTTTTTCATTGGTCGATGCGTTTTAATTTTGAAAAAAATTTCTAAAATCAATAAATATATCATAGATCATATTTTATACAATTTTGATAAAGAAAAGGTATCTACTAACAAGATAAATTTTTGTTTAAAAATAAAAAAGTTATTACTTGAATGCATTATGACAATAATTAATAATACAAAATTATATCCAGCTGAAAGAACTCTTTTGTATTATACGACTAAATGTATTTAAGTATTTTATATTCAATTAAATAAAATAATATGTTCATTTGGAATTATATTTAACCTATGTAATAAATTAGTCCGATGAAAGTTTGATATTCCATTTAATGAATTGTAAAACATTTTTATTTCTGTGTTGTAAATTTTGTAATTAATTTTTCAAATTGTTAGAAATTATTTTTGTTTTAAAAAACAAAATATCTAAAATAAAAGCTATGGCTTTATGGATAGTTTGAATGAGGGGAAAAAAAAAAAAAAATGAAATATGAAATTGCATTTTATTGAATCATGTTTGGTAAAACAATTATTTTGCATAATAAAAATTTTCGTATATAATAAATTTCTTAACTGGCAAACAACTTCAATACTTTTAGATTATTTACATTTCAAAAATGAATATTTATATTTAAGGAAAATGGTCTTCCCTATCTAATGAGGTTATTTATAAAAATGAAGTAATATAAATAAATAGTATTGTTTGTAGATTAGTATATACTTTAAATATATTAAAAAATGATTCACAACTACTAATTTGAATAATGTTTATATTAATGGATATTTAATTTTATAATTATATAAATAAGTAAACTTGTATTTTCATTAAAATATGAACTAAAAAATGTCTACATAAAATACTTTTATAGCCAAGGATTTTAGTATATCTAAATAAAATATATAAAGATAAGATGCCTGTAAAAATATTTGCAAGCTTTTTTTAATAAAATTAATGTCAGGCCAAATTATATTGTAAAAATTTAAGAAAATAGTATCAGTGATAAAGCAATAAGATAATTGAACTACAATGTGTAAACAAGTTATATGCATAATAGGTACATATTAATCTAGTAATTATATTTGTAGCTAAACGTGTACTTGCTCGGTAAGTGAAAGTTGCAAATTAACTGCTTATTTATTTTAAAAATTATAAACTAGTATTCGCAATATGATTTTTGACTTAGCAACTTTCATTTATTCATTTTTATAATTACAAGATTTTTTGCAAAAATCGTTTTCGTAAAAGTTTGTGTAAATCATACCAAGTTTCTAGTAAACCATGCCAAAAATCAGCTGTTTTGATATAAATACAGATTTAAAAGGCATATTTTTTTTCTTAGTTTCCCATGTCACTAAGTATTTTACAGGAGCAGCTCATCATCAGCATCTTTACGATGACTATAATTTGACATTAAATATACTTATATTTAATAAAAATATAAAAAAGAAAAAAGAAAAAAAATGAAGTTGTAACATGTGAATGTAATAGATAAAAAATAAAGATTTTTGATTGAACTTTTATTTCTTTATTTCAGTAAATAAATTTTATAAAATTATAAAAATAGTAATTTATACAGCTTATTTTAAAGAATTATTATCATAATTGTTTTTTGAAACTGATACCCTTACTCTCGAGATCAGCCCTTGCTTCTTTAATTTGCTAAAAACAATATTTGAATGTAATAATCATATAATATGGTTATATTTAACAATTAAATTTTTTAAATTGTACTTACATTTTGAAGCTCAATGGCAGCAGCTTTACAATTATTAAAGGTAAACACTCTATATAATACAGTAATTACGGCATAAACAGCAAAAAGAAATATAAAGATAACTGGAAACCATTTATAGTACCAATTCAAATTTGCATAGTTAGGTTTTCCAATGAGTACTGCTATCCATGAACTAAGTACAAGAAGTCCAACAAGTATCCATTCCATTAATTTAGTCATTCCTGAAGAATATATTGTACAATCGTATATGCATTTACGTTTAAAAATTAATGAAAACGATAAATAATATTTATTAAAGATTAAAAAATACATATGAACCTACTCATTTAATTTTAGTTATATAGTAATTCTTGTATATTTTAAAAATATAAAGTATAATGTTAAGTTAGAATTTTCCTCGATGATTATTAGGTTAGGTCTATTGTCAAAAATTCTGCATGACAATACGACTGACATTTACCTCTGACAAGTAACACTTACACTCGCACAGTAGTACTGCAATACATCGTAGCCATGTGACTAATTAAATAAGAATTTATAAAAAAGCGAATAAAAATGTGCAGAGAGCAATCTTTGATAAAAATTTATTTTCTATTTATCAAAAGTTGTTTTACAAATCACTCTTTATATTAAAGTATAGGTAAATTTTTTAAATATTTTCTTTTTACTTTATTTATTAATTTTACGACAGATTTGATGAGAAACGTTAAGTCAAAATATATGAATTATGTTATTAAATTTGCATAATACTGAAATTAAAAAAAAAAAGTAAAATGCTTTTTAATGTATTTTAATCTTTTTCATGCACGTGCAATGTACACGTGTGCATGCATATATATATATATATATATATATATATATATATAATGTATATAGCAAGAACACAATAATAAAAATAATACCTCATTGTTTATATATACACATTGCACGGGTTAATCAACTTTTATTAGATTGCGTATGAGGCGTAAAAGCGCACCGATTGACTTGGCTAAACGAAGGCTCACTGGAAGCTGCTATTACTTTTTTTTCATTTCATTCAATTTCTCAAACAAATTTTGTCTAGTCCTTTGAATGAGGTAAATAAAGATAGAGTAGAGTATAAAACTTTATTAACAAACTTTGTAACAATCTCTGAACAAATTGTATTGAAATATTTTAGTAAGAAGTTACAGCAATCCGATAGAATACATATAAGTACAAGTTCCTAACTTTATACCGATTTTTTCTAATTTCTCTTCTTGATATTTTGATAGTTAGTGCAGACAACGTAACCTTACTTATGAGTCTAATTAATCCAGGACGAAGTATTTTTCACAAGATTGGCAAATTTTTTTTTTTATCTTTCTATTATTCGTATAATAGTCAAAATACAATCGCTTGTTGAAGAGTAAATTTTTGTGATTGGTATTTATACAATTTCAATTTTTTACTTTTAAATATCTTATATTCACATAATAGCTCAAAGTGATCATTTTTTCACTATTTTGAGAGTACTAATCATCTCTTACTAATGTCAAATTGAATACAATGCCACATTTCCTATATATATTTTTAAATGTTATCCAAGTTTACAGGATGAGATTGTTTATAACGATTATGAATCAAAACCACAAATTTATTAACAAATTAATATTTTTATTTCTATCCAACGATTTATGCAATTGAAATAGAGTATAATAATAAAATATAAATTCTCAATAATTTTTAATAAAACAAATGAAAATATGAATTTTAAGAATTACATATTGATAATTGAAATCATTTGCAAAGCTATGAAATAATACAAATTAAAAATAGAAAAATTAATAATTTATACTGAGAATTTATGACACATGTGTATTTATTATTATTAATTTTCTTTCTTTTTTTTTTAATTGTGGTATAATCGATTAAACTAAAAATATAGTTGAAATCTGTAAATTAAGGTATATACCAATTTTTAATTTGGATATCAGTGCTTAATAATGACTTTCCTAATAAAAATAAAAAATTGCTATTGTTCATGCGTATGTATTCATCGAAAATAATAGATTAAAGGACTAATTTAATGAAAAGATAATTGTATTTTATTAAGGTATTATTTACTAAAACAAATTTTGTTATAATAAAATAAAAAGAAAAACTTTATTAATGTAAGTTCTATTTCGATTTTTGTGTTGACTGCGTGTAATCTGTATGTTGTTGTTGTTGTTGTTGTTGTTGTTGTTGTTGTTGTTGTTGTTGTTGTCGTCGTCGTTGTTGTTGTTATTATTATCATTATCATTATTATCATTATTATCATTATTATTATTATTATTATTGTTATTATTGTTATTATTATTATTATTATTATTATTATTATTATTATTATTATTATTAATGTATCTAATTTCAATTGTTTCTCATCGTTGCTAAGTAGCCCATCAGGTGCAAGACTTGGGAATTTTTAAATATTTGTAATAAAGGTTGCCTTGATATTCGCTTGTATTTTACTATACTTTCATATTTTTTAACATACATTATTTTTTAAGTAATTAACTTCTTATATCGTATTATTCTAGTAAAATATTTTTCCTTAAAATAGAATATATCATATGAATACATTTAAAATTTCGCGCTTATACATTGTCATATTTTTAAAAGGCCGTTTATTATTCGTACCTGGGTACGGCTCATGGCCATAATGTACCTACGAATGGAATTGGAACTAAAATATGAAAGCCATTCTATGTAGAGTTAAAAGACGCTGTAATGCGGATTTGCTGTACGGGACGTTTCACGAGTGGAAAAATTTTAAATTTTGCATACATGAGTGAGAGTTGGGAATTTAATGGTACGGTATACTTGTGTATTATAAGGATAGAAATAAAAACAATGCATGTTCTATTACGATAAAAATAATAAAATATTTATATATATATATATATATATATATCGAGAGGGAGATAGATGCAAGTATTGAGTTAATAATTCGTTGGATCAACCAAAGTTTTGCAAGCCCTGCATCTCGTGGGCATCATTAATTTTGAAATATTGTCAGAGATGAATTTCAAACGATAAAGTTCCTCCTCTATGCTAAATTAAAGAATTTCATAACTGTGTATTCAATTATAATCTGATCAGCAATTTAAAATAAAACAATTTGTCTACTAATCGTATTTAATCCTAGATAAGTCTAAATATATGCATTAAAATATTTAGTATAGAATTGGCTCTCTGTCAATAGTTTTTAATAATGAATTTAGTAAAACGATTCCTGACAAATTGACAAAATTTAATTAAATTGAAAATAATTAAATGCAATTAAATTAGAGAAATAGTTTTTCTTGCATTAGTATATTTATAGCGATAGATTGTTTGTCATCTCATATCAGCAATATTAAAAAAATTAATTAGTCTATGTCCTTACGAACCTATTAGCGTGTCTAATTCCAACAAGACTGTAATAAATAGCAAATGGGAAGTATACAAATTATAAAAACAGTTTGAAAAGAAGCTTAGTGTATATGTAAGTTGATATAAAAGAAAATATGTACATTTAGGCTGACTTTCATTTATCATATTATAATTATACGACTTTTGTACTATATTGCTTGATGTTATTATGCATATTATGAAACGTTTCGTGTAGGAAAAAGAAAGCTTTATCACTATAAGTCAAAATAATTTATTGACAAATATATGAATTTTACTAATAGGCGATTTTATTTAAAATCAAACGAATTTTAGATTTGTATTTTTAATTTACAAATATGTAATAATAAGATATTAGTATAAACATTTTTTATTCATAAATAGAAATATTGAATCCTGCCAAATGCATTTTCAATTAAAATTTAATCTATTAAAATATAAATCTATTATTAATTATATTTATTTATATAGTATTTAAATTTTTTTTTTTATAATCTTTTGTACATGATATAGTATTCGCTATTTTTTCTTTCGCACCACAAAATTAATTTTTCATGGTTCTGAGCAATTTTCATTATTATATATAAAATCTTATACGCACTAACGCATTATTAAATAAGCATATGCCCGAATATAGAGATTTCTAATGTTTTGTTGATAACCTTACTCGTTCTATTTTGTCCTATTTTGTTTATAAAAGAAAATTGTGTTCACGAAGTAAAAGCAATTTAACTGTAGAAAATTGTCATAACTTCATTTCTTAAATTCCATTATAATAGTCGAAAAAGTTTCAATTTTTTCTTTATATTGAGTAATTAATTAACAAACACGTTATATTGCGATTTTAAGCTACAATCACATTAGTAAATAAAAAAGAAAAAGAAAAATAAAATAATATAAATTTAATCATTAGTAAATTTTTTTAAATAGTCGTAAATACGTGTTACTTTTATAAAGTAGAGAAATCGTTAATTAATCTCACTTAGATGTATTTAAAAAAATCTATTGGACATATGTATAAAGAAAGGCTAATTTTATAATTCTTCCTTTTTCTACAAATTCAAATTTTTATACATCCTTAGAATTTCTAATGATTATTTAGTACACACATATATTCTTATTTAAAAAAAAATATATATATATATATATATATATATATATATATATATATATATATATATATATATATGTAATATTAATAAAACAAAATATATCTATATTACAGTATATATCACACATATATTGCAATATATAGTTTTAAATACTATTTGTTTATTATCGAGTATTAAGTATATTGAATATACTTATCATTCAAGGAGAAACATTATTTACGAATGTAAAAAAAATATGCATAAAAAGGTTTTTCTGCTTTTGAAATTTCTTTCAACAATCACATAAAAAACTTATATATATATATATTACTTTTATAATATAAAGGCTAGTTAGTATAATATATATTCATCATAGTTATCGATTTCATTTTTAATAAAAATTTAGGTTAAGAGAATGATACATACAAAGTTTAATGTATTGGAATTTGTTTTGCCTCTTTTGAAGTAATGTAAATTAAAAAAAAAATCACAGTATCGACTAATTACATAATATAGTAGAACTTTTTACAGTAGAACATACCGATTTACCATTAAGTATTTAGTAAAAGTCATATATTATTGCTATTTATTAATCACCATTGTTAAGGAATACTTCGTTATTTATGACAGTTTGTAACAATTAAAGAACATTTATTAATCAGATGCTTATAAAACTTGACATAAATTGATAAACAGTTCGAAAAAATTCAGTTTTTTGTCAATAGTCACTTTTAAAATCAAAATGTATTGATTATTATGGTTATATGTACTTAAAAATATGCAAATTTAATGAACTGCTAAATTTTTCTATTTATGAATCTTAAAAATTGATAGTAGTCTTGAGAAACACGCTTCTAATGTTTTAGACTTTACTTGTTTCTTGAATATGATAGTTGACAATAATCGGTTTATAATAAACAAATGTAATCAATAATAATTATCTGTACTATTATTATTAATTATTATTGAGAATCATCTCCATTACTTTATTTTTGAATTCTGTGAATTATTTGTTTGTGCTTTAAAATATATTTAAGTAAGGCTTGGATTTTTTAACAAATTTTTCAATGATTTATAGAATTTTTAGGCAATTTACAACAATTTTAAATTGGAAATGTAATAATTTATGATTAAAATAATATTTTTAATATAAGAATACAATAACAGAAATTCATTCAATATATACATATTTTAAAAATGTTTTATTCATTTTTAATGAAATTAAGAGGCTCATATAATTGACCTAAAAAATTTGTTCGTTTCTAGCATTATGATTATAAATAGTGTTATGAACAGAAGTTAAATAAACATTTTCATTTAAATTAAATTAGTTTTTATTGTAATTTAATATTAATTTCAATTTAAATATGATTTCCAAATAATGCACGATACCAAACAATAATTTTTCTAGTTTTTATATTTATATATATATATATATATATATATAAATTTTGCTTATATATAAATAAATAAAAAATATAAATATATAAATAAATTATATAATTCATATAAATAAGACATAAACATTCGAAATATTTTCTTCCGTATTTCTATTTTGAAAGCACATTGTTTATTATAAATATTATGAAAAGTTATACATTTATTTTTAAAAAGTATTTATGTTATTAACATCACGTGACTAATATAAAAAGTATTCATGTTACATACGTTCTGTCTATTATAGAATAAAGTAATAATCACCGGACAAGTAATAATAAATTAAATATAAATGACAGAAGTCTGTATAATTAAAATAAAATTAAAGATAATTATTTATCAGGAACTTTTATTTATTACTTATGAATTCAAATTAACTTGTAATGCTATCAATCTATCTTATAATATCATTTTATCACAACAGGAATACAAATTTGATTTGATTTTATTCAAATACAAAAAGTTAGCAATCGTCAAGTAATATCTTAAATATCAACCTTAAATCAAATCAGAGAAAATTATTGTGATCATCTTATCATGACTTATACAGTTTGTTGTAATAGCATCGGTAGCTCAACGTTTCACTCATTGGCTGACATTTGCTTTCTGGACTTGGTTCCTTTAAACCTTCGCACGCCATCATTCTTATTACGAGGGACACGTGGGCGTGTATTTATATTTTCGCACATTCCCTTAACCATTAGAGACTCACCAGTTTATTAAATAGTTTAATAATTTTCCGTAAGAGGTAGCAGCACATTGCGCTAGTAATAATTGTGACCGGATTCTGATATGCTGATTGGTGATCCTAATCATTTCTATTGATACTATGCAATTAATAGTTTATGATTTGTAACGTGTTCCGATAGCAATTTTAAACTGTAATATGAAATCGGGACTATAGTATTTTGAGTTGAAATTTATAATCTCACAATAATATGATTTCATTATTATTCTATATGAATTTCAATTTTTTTTTTTTTTAATTAATAAACTTTGCTCTAATTAAATTTATACTTATATTTATTGGATATTCAATACATATATTATGAATGCAAGTAATTTGATTGATATTGAATCATGTATAAATCATAACATAAAAAAAATTAGCAAATAATGATTAATAGGAAAGGTGTTAAGATTAAATAAATGGTATGTAATAGACGTGTTATTCATACTGAATCCATGGGAAATTTTTTTTTTTAACTTGCCTAAACATTGTTAAATTATAATTTTAATATATATAACTGATAATATTGTATTAAACAAAAAAACTAAACAAAACATTAAGAATTTTAAGCTTATAGCGTATATACATGGATGTAAAGTTTTCGTATTAAAAATATAATAAACACTGAAATCTAATTGGGGGGAGGGGATACTTCATTTGTTATACGCATCGTTGCTAAAAAAGTAAATAAATTTTAAGGAATGGAAATCAAATATTTTTGAAATACACAACAAACAGTATCGTAATTTGTTAAATCGATTAATTTTTATTAATTGAAATGCGTTTATTTTACTAACTGTAAGAGGAAATATTTGTAATAATAAAATATTTTATTTTTGTTTTTCTAAAGATTATTATTTTAATATGATTTTATAGGAATATGTAATATTACAATAGATTTACATTTCTATTACCGGTATTATACTTATTTTTTTAACTATATATATATATATATATATATATATAGGTAAAATATATACATTACTTATACAGAATATAAATATATTCTTTTCATATGAATTTTAGTTATTAATTTATCTCAGCATTAATATGAGCTGCCACAATAGTTATTTCTTAAGGATCTTGTTATTTTTGGTACAATCAGTCTAAAGAATCAGAATTGTCTAAAAAGATTAAAAGACCTAAATTAATTTATCTTTTTGTTAAAAATGGCCAAATATTTAATTATTAAAGAAATATTGTAAAATTAAAAAAAAATAGTAATAGTATTTAAGATATTTTATTGTAATAAATATAATACGCTGTTTTTCCATATATATATAAATTTTGACTTTGAATAGATATATTAAATAAATTGTGCATTGAATACGAAAAATAAACTAAATCTTATCTTGTTTATGACACACTTTGTTTTATAAGTTTGTAAAATTTTAACAGCTATATGTTACTAAAATGTTAAATTTTTTTTTTTTTTTTTTTTAATAAATCAATAATTTTTATGAATCTTGTAGAGGTTAATAATTTGTTTATTGACGAATGAAGTAATAAATGATGAAAGATTGTAATTAGGAATAATTGCTTAAAAGCGGAAAGATATTCAGTATGTGACCGTACCCTTAGTTTACAAAAAAAAAAAAGGCGCTTCCTAAATGTTTGAAAAATGTCAATTAAACTCGCGACCATCGTAATAAGCCACTTCCAATTAAACGTATTGTCATTGTTTTTTTGTTTTTTTTTGTTTTTATTTTGTTTCTCGTTATTATACCTTCGCTACATAGAGGCTTGCAGCCCGATCGAGAGGGAAATCGAGCCTTGTGGAACTTAGACGCCGAGCTTCGATGTGTGCCGAGGAGCGGGACACGAAAAACGATAAACGCATGGGCGAGAGTTTTTTTGATAAATAAGGGTGTATTAGAGGAAAAGAAGAAACGAGTCGGCCCTGGACAGCGGTAAAGCGGTAACTGCTTCCGGGTGTAATCGGCCCGCGGTTCCTCTACGAGAGGGCGAACGGTATCGGGCGCCGCTGCTGCCTCTCGGCGTGACAATCCAGCAATCGTCGGCGACGGCAGCGCGTGTTTGGTGGTGGCCGCTCCCGGAGGCTGCTACTCACGGGATCCCTCCTCCTCCTCCTGCCAAGCGAACTCGCGATTATTCCTACGCGCTGGGACTTTGGCTATAGTGCCGACACTGCCGACATCGTCGCTCGCTCGTCGCAGCACATAGCCAGCAGCAGCAGCAGCAGCGACTCCGCGCGCGCAGGGGAGTCGAGCCGTGTGTCGTCGTCAGCCCGTCACATACAAAAGCAAGATGGAGGATCTCGCAGTTGAAGTATGCGGCGAAAACGGAGCGTATTACAAGGTGCGTTTGTATGAAAAGTATGGGGACACGAGGTCTAGGCTGCCTCGCGCTTGTGGCCCCTCGCGCCGCTTCACTCGTCGGTGGTGCTTTGCTCAGCTAGTCATCCGTACTTTGCCGGCGCTTCCGCGCCACCGAGGTTGTGTCGAGGTAGACGGTGGGGCCCCCCGCGCATGGCGCGCGGCTTCTTATGGCCGACGCCATGACTCCTCCTCGTCGAGCCCGACGTGGCACGGCTACTCGAGCCGGCCCGGCTCGTCCTCCAGAGTACCTCGTACACAGGACGCGTCCTCGGCGTTACCTACCAAACGCGATTTCTCCCTCTTTCTCAATTCTATTCTCTCTCCCTCTCTCTCTCTCTCTCTCTCTCTCTCTCTCTCTCTATCTCTCTATCTCTCTATCTATCTCTCTCTCTCTCTATATATATATATATTCCTTTATCTCACTCACCTCACTCCAACCAGATATACTTTCTCGGCCATCAGTCTCTCAATCTTCTCTCTCTCTCTCTCTCTCTCTCTCTTTCTCTTTCTCTTTCTCTTTCTTACTCTCTCTTCCCTCTTTCCTTCTCTCTCATTCTCATTTTCTTTCTTTCCTCGCTTCTATTCGGCCGCTCCTCGCTTGCTCGCTCGTTTACTTACTCATTTACTTATTCGTTTATTTACATCGCGTTGCCCGTCTATTCATCTCTCTCTGTTGTCTAACCCTTGGACGCCAGACGATCATCCGCTTCGCCATAGGGTGTTTGCCCGCCCTACGCGTTCCCTCGTCCTTTTCCCTCCCTACACAATGTGGACGATCGACTGTGTTGCATCGCTCATTTTACCTTTTTCTTTTATTTTACCTCGCGTTTATACACGCTCGTTGGGAATTTTTACCGGTTGCATTCAGCAATCGTTTTTATTCATTTTTGTTATTTTGTTTTTTTATTCTATTGATGTGTGTGCGCAGGCGATATCCCGGTGAAAATACCTTATTTGGGAATTGCCCACGAGGTGCGCGATTTTTGGATTATGATTATGATGTTGAGATGTTACTTTAATTGGTACATTTTTATCTATTGCAGGCTTTTGTCAGGGATGTATTTGACGAGGAAGTTCTTGTTGCTTTTGAAAATGAGTAAGTTATCATCCTCAAATTAAAACAAAAAATTTAGACGATATAAAATTTGCGTTCTGCTTCATATATCTGTGATAGATTTAATTACATGCAAATTTCTGATAATTCAACATGTACTTTTGTTAAATATATTTTCATGTTGAAGTAATTTGTCAATATTTTATCTTCAGTTATTTTCAATTACATGATTCTTGTATCAGCCTGTAAACCATTTACAAGTGCATAAGTCTAAATTCATAATGATTGTTTTATTATAGTTTTTGATCTACATAATTGATAGAATTTGGAAATACACAAATTATAAAATAGCAATTGTAATATTTTTGTCTACTATTATTTGGACTTAATTTTATAAATCAATTCTCTAAATATAGTTCTAATTTACATTTATTAATTGTAGAAGGTAATATATTTAATGAAAATATAATAGTAAATAAGTAAAGCAATAAATAAGTAGTATATCTTGTAGTTAGTTAATAATTTTATATTTTTCATTCTTAGCTGGCAGCCGGAGTCCAAGTTTAATTTTTCTAAAGTTCGTCTACCTCCAAAGGAAGGTCAAAAGCACGAGTTTCAAGAAAATCAAGAAATTGAAGTATTTTCTCGTGCCAATGATCAGGAGGCGAGCGGCTGGTGGAAAGCTGTTATTAACGTTAGTATACAATATTAGCCACATTTAACAATTTTGATCTATCAATACTTCATAGTTATACGTTACTTTTGAATTATTTACATTTTATATTATGTTTTTCATTGTATTTTCATTTTCCTGCATGTTAATATAAATTAATTAAAATGCTTAATATAAACTTCCATTTCTTCTTCGGTAGATTAACTTAAAATACGACTTAACATTAAATTTTATTTAGTCCTAACAATATCAATATTTCAAATATCACTCTTTCATTTTCATCAAATACATTTTTATTCATTAGATGACGAAAGGTGGTTTTCAAGTAATTGAATATCTTGGATGGGATTGTGCTTATACTGAAATTGTTGCCAGTGAACGATTAAGACCAAAAAATCCAAATCCTCCCATTGACAAAAATACATTTTATAAGATCGAAATAGAAGTACCTGAAGATCTACGAGAATTGTAAGTCAAATTTTTAGAATAAAACTCCTAAAAATTCATTTAATATCGATTTTGTCTTGTTTCTTTGCATTAAGGGTTTGCATTAAAACTTATCATGACAATTGAATTTTATTAATAAGGAAATTACCTAAATATATAAAATAATAAATTTTCTGATATTATTATTATTGTTATTCTTTTAGTGCAAAAATGGATAATGCACACAAGGAATTTCAGAAGGTAATAGGGGCAGCATTATGTCGATACGTGCCTGAACGGGGAGTACTGCTGGCCATCTCCCGTCATGAGAAAATACGTCGACATTGTAGTATGCTTCAAGAAATGCATTTTCGTAATTTGTCACAAAAGGTAATGTGGTTTTGCTGTATCAATCGAAGCGTCTCGTAAATTTTATTTTAATCAATGCTAAAATCACCAGTTGAATTAATAATTATATTTACTGTATATTCGTTTTTTACATTTTTTAAATGCACTAACATTATAAATTACAAATTTTATATATCATTTTTATATATTTCAGGTTCTTCTTCTAAAAAGGACAGAAGAAGCAGCCCGCCAGTTGGAGTCGACCAAACTTCAAACGGTATCAGTGTGAGTAATGATTAATGTAATATTCTAATATACACTTCATTTATAACAAGTCTTTTGTTTCTGCCAAATCTACATTCGCGTTAAGCAAACTTATTAATATGAATACAGACATGATTATTTACTGTCCTCGCTACCATCCTGTCTGTAATTTGCATTATTGGCAAAGGTGAAAGATATTCTTTATAAAAGCGCAAAATAATTTTTATTTTTTTAATATCTGTTGCATTTGATTACACATTATGTGTAATTTCTTCCGTTATTTATACATTCTTCATATTTCAAATTGAATTTCAAAACTGTTTTAGATAATTAGCGTTTGATAATCTTCTTGAGATCTTTTAAGTCACCACCCTGATACTTTCTACTATTCCAATAAAAATGCTTATAAAACTATTGAAAGTATTGTAAATTAATTTTTTTTTTAATTTTTTTTTTTCTTTCTCTGTTTTATTTTATTTTATGTTTTTAACTAGAAAATGACATATAATAATCGGGAGTTATTAAATTCTTCGATATTTACCCACAATGATCGATGCTTTGCTGCTGTTTATTAAAAGAAATTGTGTATACATTTTCCAAACAAAACTTCGACATTTTCATATTCGTCATACGAATTTGTTACTTTTGTCCAATTGAAGTGCCAAATTTTTGCGCATGCAGTATTTTTCATATATATACGCACTAGGGATCGTCCTGGAAGAATGGAGGAATAAAGATTTTAGAAATAAAACTATTTGTCAGTTTAGCCGTACACTAGCAAACAGACAGAATGGCAAGGGCGTAGGATAGGGCCATCCTTTTGTAAATTCTTCAAGTTCTATTCTCTACATTATATCAGGGTGGGGTCCGAATTTCCGAATATTGAAGTTAGATTTCAGAAATACTAATAGCTTTAAATTATAAATAAAAAAATTGTGAGTATTATTTTTATAATCATTTTAATTTCATTTATATGAAATTTGTTGTATATTTGTAATTATTCTGATCATACCCAATTATTCTTATTATTGTACTATTATTATTCTTATTATTGAATTGTAAACGCATATTTGTTCATAATAAATTATTGACGATAATACAATAAAAAGAATATCCTTGTATGATTCTAAATTTATTTCACATAATAATTTATTTCCATACATCATAATAACTTACACGAAATTAAAAGCAATTTACAAAATAGTCTTAAGGGTATAAATGTTTTTATATAAGTTAAATTAATTTCTTGTTAAATTCAATAGTTGAATAACTTAATAAATATGTCAATTTTTGAATACAAGAAATATCCGTTGAATTTTAAGTAACTTTTATATTAAAAGTATAAATTTTGTATTTTAGCATTTCTGAATTTAAGATATTCTGAAATTAGGATCTCATTGTTATATCAGGGATTTCTTTTTATTTCAGCAAATTTAGATCTTCAAACTTTGTATACCAACGTGTCTCAGACTTTGAGACAGGAGTGAGAACAAATTCAAGGTGAGACCCATGCTGCTTGGTCTAGACCACTCAAGTTAGCTTATTATATTTTTTATACAAGTTTACACTGCTGTATATCTATTGAGATTCCAAAGTTTTCATTCGGATAATTACACATTCGATGTGCATGCTACAAATGCCATGTAGACATCAGTGACAAATGTATGCTTCAACCACACTTTATACACAAAAACTTGTTTCTACATGACTAATGTAAATTATTTAATATGCTCCTTTAGTAAGTACTTCTGAGTATGCAAAATTGCATTTATGGTTGGTGAAAATTGGTACCTTTCTATTTTAAAGCATCAATATCCTTTTATCCATTCCTGAATTTCAAATATTTTAGTTATTCATAAAATATTTTAGTTTCTCTTAAAATATTTTAGTTATCCTTAAATTATTTTAGTTGTCTTCAAAATATTTTAGTTATCCTTTTAACATTTTTTTTTTTTATTTTATTTGAAATATATAAATGCAAAACTGATATTCTGTTAAAGATTATTTATTTATGTAAACAATTATTAAAATTTATAAATGATGGCCTATCTGTTTGTCCCTTGTCTTAAGCATTTACAATGATTTTATTTAATAATTATAACGTACATGATAACCAAAAAAAACAATTATTTGCGGGTGAAATCAACCTAAAAAATACACCAAAAATTCGGTTATTTTAATATTTTCATCCAAGCGTAAACAATTAGTACTCAATCGTAAACCAATAAACAAAGCATCGATCATTTTTGGTAAAAAGAAAAAAAAAACAAAAAACAAATATATTGGTTTGAATATAAATAATTATGCACTCCCTGCTTGTTATGCATGTGTGTTTGCACGTTTTTTTTATAAGTAAAGATTTATAAGATTTGCGAATAATTATTTGTTATTGAAATTATTTATTCGTGTTTTTTTTTTTTTTTTTTTTTTTATTTATTTATTAGTGTAAATAAATCTATAAAAATAATTAATATTTGATTAATTCAATAGCATCATATTGGTAATGTAAAATAATTAATTTATTTTAAAACGCTTTTTTAAGAATTTTACTTTTTGATTTTGTTTAATTTTTTTTCACTCTTAATATACACTCCAGTAGACGTATTTTTTTTTTTAAGATAAATCTTTCCAACGCAATAATTCACTTTAATTTTTAAATTTATAAATTTTGAAAATGTTTTATATTTTTAATTCTAACATTTAACAATGTACAATTTTAATTTAATTGGAAGTAAAACAAGATTTATTTTACATTATATGCAGTTTAATTTTTATATAAATAATTCTATTTCGTAGGTATTCGGATGAATTCAATGTTAGGGAAGATTTAATGGGTCTTGCTATTGGTGCTCATGGAGTGAATATTCAGCAGGCAAGAAAAGTGGTTGGAATCACCAACATTGAATTAGAAGAGAATTCTTGTATTTTCAAAATTTATGGAGAGGTGAATGAAATAATTTAAAAATTAATTAAATGTATAAATGTGTGTAGTACAGATTATTGTATTTATTAGGAAAACGTTGATATATTAATTCAATTGATAAATGATTTTACTTGGATATTATTTAATTTATTACAGAACGTCAATTTAAGACACAGTTCGTATAAGAAATATTTTTTATTTTCTACTTGTAGACATCCGAAGCTGTAAAAAAGGCTCGTTCGTTACTCGAATACAGTGAAGAATCAATACAAGTCCCACGTATTCTTGTAGGTAAAGTTATTGGTAAAAACGGTAGAATTATCCAGGAAATAGTGGATAAAAGTGGTGTCGTAAGTATAAAAAATGTATTGAACTTTTGTTTAATTTTGCATTTTACTTTTTAATGTAGTATTTTTAGTATAAAAAGTTATATTTATCTTAGGTAAGAGTAAAAATTGAAGGCGATAACGAACCTCAGCCGACTATTCCAAGGGAAGAAGGACAGGTACCTTTCGTTTTCGTAGGTACTGTTGAAAGTATTTCAAATGCCAAAGTTCTATTGGAATATCATTTAGCTCATCTTAAGGTAAATTTTCATCTTTTATTTTATGAACATTATTAAAAATTTAATTATGGTTAATTAATGAAATACAGCAAAATGCGGGAAATAATAGTAATCGAATAATTAATTTAATCTGTTTAGGAAGTTGAGATATTACGGCAGGAAAAACTGGAAATTGATCTACAGTTGAGAACCTATCATGGATTAAATGTAGCGCCGATGCATAATTTCCAACCTGCTAGGCGAGGTATGCCAATGGGACCCGAAGAAAATAGCGGCAGTCGGGGCGGTCGTGGCGGTCAATCAAGAGGACGGGGCAGAGGTAGAGCTCCTGCGCGACATAACAGTGGTAAATATTAAAATAATTCTAACATTTATAATAATAATGATAATAATTAAAAATGTAAATAATATAAAATTTATTAATCTAGAAGTATCTGTCAATATGTGGAAGGCATTGTTTAGACATTCTTTGTAAAATCAATATTAAAATTTATGAAATATTAGTGAGTGAAATAGCAATAGAAATATATAAATTTATATTCTTCTTTTGAGTTTATGCATCTTTGTTTTAAGCTTAAAAAGATTTTTTTAAATTTTATAAATTTATAAATACAAAATATTTTTATCCATTTTCCTTAATTATTTTTTTTATGTTAATAAGTTCAAACTTGTTAAAACATGTATCAGAAAACTACAAAGTGTACAGAATTTCTAAAATTAAGTTTAAAATTTATAAAATTTGGACGTTTCAAAGCATAAATTTCTAAAAAATATTGATTTTTAATATGTAAATTGAAATAATTAATATTTTCATCTGTTTTTTTTTTATATTTCATAAATATTTTATCAATGACACTACTTTAGTAACACTACTTTAAATCAATAGTAAAGAAATAGTTTTTTTTTTTAAATATTTAAAAGTTATCGACACAGAGAATATATATTCATCTATTTCTTAACTTATTGAAGCGAATATTTCTATTGGCTCAGCTTCAAAGAAAATTTTACCACATTTTTAATATACAATTCAAATAAATTATTTTATTTTAATATTTAAGATAATAACGAATTTTTAAGATTTTTTAATTTTTTTTTAATTTTTAAGATATTGAATATGAATTCAACAAATTTTTAACTTATTTGGATTTTTTAATTTTAGTCTTCTTTAATACTTATTTTCTTTGTCCTTAATTATTAAAGTATTGAGTTATTATTAATTAACTATAATTTATATTTCATTATAAATATCAACAAATATTTTTTTCCATTGCATTTTGGTATTAAAATAATTATTAAAGAAATTATGCGAAATATTGTCGAGTTATAATGCTGTAAGAAATTGTGTAACGGATAATAATATTTTTAATTAAAGGCAAAACCATTCGCGAAAGTAATAATTAAAAAAGAAAAAAAATGAAATCTTATGCGTAGGTTTACGTCGAGACACCATGGATAACAATGAAGATCGCATACGTGATTTACCACCAAGGGGTGGGCACCAGGGAGGACAAGGTGGTTCTGGCGGCCCTGCCGGATATGGCAACAGACAGGGTGGAGGAGGTCGGCCTTCTACGCAACGCCGGGATCGCAGGGACGATCGCCGTCGAACTACGGATGATGAAGATACGGTTCTCGACAGTCAAGATGTTTCAAGTATCGACAGAGGTAAACGTTGGAGATAATATGAGCTTTTATCGCGTTTTTAAGCGTACGTTTGTTTTTTACAATTAAAGTGCATGCGAGTGTTTGCACGTTCATTGATAACATTGACAAGGAGCTTGTCGATGTAAAGAGTATTATTTGATTAATTAAATTAAAAATTTGTATGAGAGTTTTAATTAACGGTTATGGCAAGAGTATTTTACAAATTTTGTAAAATTAAATTTAAGTATAAATTATATTCGATTTTATTGATGCTGTACAGTTAAGTAAGTCTTGAAATCGAATTTAAATTTTACTCTTGAACGCTTACGAAGTACCATTAGAAAAAAAATAAGCAAACATTTGTGACCATCTAACCATCCTATTTTTAAATAATTATAACTGGGCATATCAATTAATTACGCCTGCTACTAATCCACATGATTTGTGTGCGTTGTTTTTAAAGCGAGGCTATAAAAAAAATTAATGATAACAATAGTAATTGAACTAATAGATGGTCACAATGGTTTGTATGTATGTAGAGTCGGTATCGAGCATGGAAGGTGGCACCAGAGGATCGAAAAGACGCTTACGACGCTATCGTCAGCGCAGCAGTACACCATCCAATAGTCGACGAGGTAAATCACTTGAATTGCGATTAATTTAATTATTAAAATTGCAATCAAGTATCGAGGAGATGAAAAGACACGATTATAAATACTATGTGTTATTTATACTGCAATCGGTTTTAATTTAGTACTTTTGAAAATAGATATATTAATTAAATGTTTTTTAAGAAAGTGGGCATATTCGATTTGATTTTATATTTTATTTTTAAATGAATATCTATTATTATTAGTATTATTTTGTTTGTAATTTATTTTCTGTAAAATAAAGATTTATTTTCTTGTTTGCCTAGTTTCAACATATCGAGCAAATGCATATATTTTTAATAAAGTTATTAAACATTATCTCCTTAATATTAAATCTAAAAATAAATTTTCCACGTAATTTGAAGATAGTTTTTATAATTTTTGTTTATTTTTAGTCGAGAACTTCTTTCAATTCAAATCAATATTTTCAAAATTGTTTTTTTGGACTTTACTATAGATATAATTTTTTTTTCAGATATCACTGTAAAAAAAGTTAAAAATCAATAAATATTCATTAAAAGTACCATTAAAAATAGAACTTCTTTAGTTTTTTAAAGTTATATAGTTTGCAAATTTATTGTAGTTTTTAATTTAAAAAAATACATTAAATATATGCTTTGATAATAGTTTTACTTTAATTCATAATATTCTATCAAGTATGTATCATTTTCATATGCAATCACAAGTTTTTGTAAAATCTGAATTTCTTTAGCAATCTATAAATGTAAAGTAAGATATAAGACTAGTGTGTGTGTGTGTGTGTGTGTAAACGAGTAAATTTCTTGTTAAGAAAAGTGTTTGTTGCAGGTAGCAGTGCAGGACAAGTTGATCAGTCAGGCGGTCCGAATACTGTGAACAAAGATGGAGCGCCGTCAAATAACGACATCTCGACTTCGACAAACAACAGTAATCAGCAAGGCCCTAAGGGTCAGCGAGAGCAGAGATCTCGTTTTTCACGCGTACCGCAAAATAGCAAACCCAAGGAGGCTATGGTCAACGGTACGAGTGGCTAAGATCGACGGTGTCATCGCGATGGCAAACGGCGAACACCCCCCAAGACGAACTGATGGAAGAGAGCGATCGTTTACAAGGGACAGATACATATGGGCGAGAACATAGAATTTTTTTAAGTGCGATGACGGGAAAGAGAGAAAAACAAATGATGAAAGGCAAAGGTAAAGCAAAGGCGTTGTGGAATGAAAGTTGATGCTAAATGAAAGAGTTACAGAAGTAAATACAAAAGATTAAGATGAATGAACTGCCCGTGACATAATATGTATATATATGTATATATATATACACATATATATATATATATATATATATATATATATATAGATATATATATATGTATATGTATATGTATATGTATATATATAAAGATGTATATTGTAAACCCAGAAATGAGCTACTTACATCAGCACGCAACATGACGCATTAACCTCTACACACTAATGGACTACACACGATTATTGAAACGCGACATGAAGATTAACCTATGCTCGTCATTAAGACTGTTTGCTACCGATTAAGAAAAAAAAAAAAAAAAACAAATAACGACACTTATAATCGACGGTCATTCTCCTTAAATATAAAAAGGATTTAAAAAGTAAAAAAAAAAAGCATTTAAGGACACGTATAATATTCATGCATGGTTTAGTTTAACAAAGAAAGAGTGACGACGAAGACCCGAATAAAAGGACCGTCGTCGTTGTTTCAACATACGGATGCATTCATTGGGAGGCAGTAGCAGTAGTAGCAACAACAGCGGCCGCACAATTCGGTTAAAAATATGGAGAAAGAATTCCCCGTGATTGTGAAACTGTGCCTCATTTTTTATACTCAACTCTCGATCGACGGTGACATGTAACTTACTCATTTACACTCACATACGCACGTCTAAATATATGCCAAGCAATGTTGGTAGTCTGCGTTCGAGCTTATATTTAAAGGATAAATAAATCCAGGCGAGCGTTTGCTACTGCTGCGTCAATTACATTTCGAGGTAAATTCGTTCTAGTAACATTAAAAATTACTTTTAACAAAAAAATTGGTGTTTCATCGGAGTAAGAGAAGTCGATTTTTGCATGGTTACTAGTGCGAAATTTGCTATTGATATAATGGTCTCAATAATATTTCGACGATAAATGGCGAAAAGACGAAAATAAGACGTGAAAGTTGAGAGAGTAAAAAGGAGATTTAAAAAAAATGGAGAGAAACGGCAGCTGTAGTAAATCCTGGTTAAAACGGTATCCCAATGATGTTCCTCCCATTTTTTGCTATACATGATTGATTTGTTCTTTTATTTTTCTTTCGTTTACAATTAATAGTAGTTACTTGAGACACGACACTAGATTTTTACGTTTTAATGCAGAGTGCTAATTAATTGATTAGTTTATAAAATATTCGCCGATCAAATTGGCTAAAGATAAGATTATTAAAGTATAAATAAAAAATGATCATAAAAAAAAAATGAATGAAAAAGCGGCATGTACGTGTGTTGCGGTTTGAATATACGAAAAATGAGTGACACTTAATCGTACGAACGGGTGGGGTTCACTTTGTTCTCGTTAGTTCAGTCGCCACTGTACACTTCGCGCCGTTTTTCCAGTTTCCCATATTTTTTGAATTCTCGTTTTTCTTAATATAACTGCGGTATATGCGTAGTGCTGTAATGTATCGGCCGAAATAAAGGATCGATAGAACAGCCATCCGCCCAGGTCTCACACAATGCGATTGTTTTCATATGATTTATAAGAGGAAAAGTAAGCTTATACTTAGCGATACCAATGTATGATGTGCCAGAAAGAAGGAATGATACATGTTTTTATGATATCTAGCTGAAGCGAAGACTTAGCATGCGCGCGCATACCTTTATTACTATATTATAACTTGGTAGAAATGTGGATGTCTGAACAAATACATTAGCTTTATTGTACCAAGAGCTATAAAAATAGATGTGATCGACGATCAAGTTAAATTGAAGCCTCGTTCAATTTAAGGAATAATAAAAAAAAAAAAAAAAAACTAGTAATTTCTTCTTCCGGATATGACAACAACCGATCGGACGTGTCTGATAATTATTCATTATGAAAACTGATACTAAATCAAGTGAGAGAAAGAATAATAATAATTGAAAAACGTACGCCGGTTAATGAAACTATCGTATAATGGACACCTAAACGAAGTAGCTGCCCTTTTCGACATCTGAGAATATACGCTGTATCACTGTAAGGCGGCAAAAAAAAAAAAAAAAAAACTGAGATATCCCCCAACTTGCTTGTTTCAGATACATTTGTATTGATTGCAATTTGTGCATAATTTAAGAATAAAACATTTCTGTACATAATACTGCTGCTGTGTTGATTTACTAACAACCAATTTATTTCTTAATATATCACGCGTATTTGAGGTCTGAGATCTTAAATAAATAAATAATAAGCAAATTGGTAACACGAAAATATTTCATTTTATTTTATATAACAACGTACAAATAACAAAGATATCTTTTGCTTTTTCCGAGTAAAAACAAAAAAAAAAAACAAAAAAAAAATAATAAAAAAATAAACATAGTATTTAAGAGCAAAGTCCCACCCAAAGGTGAAAACAGCAGGCGTTAACAAAGTCCTCGATCAAACTGTAAATATCTCCAACAGTGAACGGTGTACTTATGGTTCCTTCAGTTTTTCTGTAAACGGCATACAATTCCTAAAATGAATTCAATTTATTTTAGTTAAATTATACACACAAGTTTTTTTTTTTACATTTGAAAATAATATAGTAAGACCTTTCAATGATTTATTAATGATCTTTTAATGATCTATTACTTAAGATTACCGAGCGAATTTCATAAGCGAAGAGCTTATATTAACAGTTACGAATTTAGGTAATAAAAAGCTCCTACCGATAGTAGTGAGACTTACCCCCCTGGACGTGTGCATATCAATAGTCAACATCATAAACGCCTGCACGTAATTCGGATGCAGTATAAGATGATGTGTAATATTGCCATCAGGAGCATTAAATTGTTTGTGATACTCCTGGTACTTGTTTTGTAGAAGCTTGGCTAGGCTTTGGTACCAGACGATCGGCTGATTGACTAGGGGATTGAGTCTTGGGTCGAGCCTCGATAAAGGTTCGACACAAGCCAGCGAACGGAGCTCGGTGAATTCGGCATACGTTAAGGTAGATCTGTTCTCGAGCAAACGATTCCAAAGTAAGTGTGTGCGGCAGTGGAGGGCTCCTTGCTCAATCATATTGCTAATGTGGCGACGGGCGGCGTTCGCTTGAGACATGATGAGCTGCTGCATGAGCTGCTCGTGCGATGAGTAATAGCCCAAGTAATTGATGGACTCCTGGCGAATCTGTGTGAGGTTCGAGTAGGACATGGTGCTGTTGAGAATGTTGGGGGCGAGTGGCGATTCGGGTACCGGAGGTGGTGTTGGGGCCATCGGACTTTGCATATCCTCTTTTAGACTTTTTGCCTCTAAGCCTTCGTAATCTCTTACCGATGATAATGATTCTGGGGCGTTTGCGTCCTACACAAACGTAATGGTCTCGGTATTATTTCGTATTTTTTTTTCTTCTTTCTTTCTCTTTATTCCTCAATAGTCTCGTATTACTTGAGCTTATAAAACACGAGCCCTTTCAATTCAGGTATGATGGCAATTTATATAATTTATTTATATATTTATTTTACTTTATTGCTAAGTATGCTATGATGAAATATATTAGTCATATTTGCATTGACAGACAATTACTTTAAAACAAAGAGTTATTGTTATTATAGATTATTAATCTATAACTGTAAGACTGCTCGGTTTACAATCAAGACTATGGATTATTCTTTATGCGTAGAGTAGTAGTAAATTTTTGCACTTTTTTCAATTTCTCTGCCAATTAGAATGAAACATTTGTCAGCTGCTTGAAATAAGGAAGGTCTCTATCATATTCCCATCCACGCGATTGTTTTTTTCCTTCATTCCCAAGAAATGTAATCTTTTAAATATATCTTACATAATATTTTATTATAAACGAATCGGGCAAAAAATACGAATGCTCATCATCAACTTGATAATTGTGGTGATTTTATAATAACTGATATTAATATTTAATTTGCCGAACATTTATCATAGTTTAGAATCAGAAAAGAAACAACCGTATAGATTATTCTTAAATTTATACAAGTTCCATTACAGCGTACATACGCGTTATATTTCATTTTGTTAAAAGAATGTCAGCTTCTCAACGACTTTTTCATTTATTTTAAATACATGAAAGGATAGCAAGAAGCAAAAGATATAGGAACGGCTGCTTACCCATTTGGTATTGGTGATCTCGGCATGCAGATCACTCGAACTCGACAGTAGTTCGCTTTTGACCTGCTTACCAAGAGAAGGTGAATTGGTCGACACGGGACTTGACTCGGACAGGCTGTCCATTTGGGAGTTGGTCATGGATTTGACGACGCTATATACAGTGCGAAATTTGCCAATTTTATTGTTGCTCTCGACCTCGCGCTTGGGATAAAGTTCGCGCTTGCTCGTGAGCATCAGGTAATATTTAAGGGTAATGTCGCGGCTGTCTGGCTGAGAGAACTGTTCCAGCCAAGTGACAATGAGTGCGACGTCAAAGTCGTCCGTGTACTTGATGTCTTGGGCGTCATGGTAGCTGAGTAGAGGTGTGCTCTGTAGTCTTACCAGAACGTACTCGCTTTGTTGCGTGTCGTCCGAGTCGTCGGACATCGAGAACACTTGCATATCATAGGTTTTCTCGTGTGAGAGCAGGTACTGGTACAAAGTGTGCGCAGGTGTCACTAAATTGTTCACTGTCACGACACCTGCAAGTAATCATAAATATTGTAAACATTTCATTTTTTATAATACGTTTCTACAGTACGTGCAATATGTGCAGAAGCGCAGATAAAATTATTTCGTTATGTTAATGACGAGTGTATTGTTGATTGGGAAAACGAATTATTCTTAATTGTAAATTAATATATTTTTTCTTTACCACTGTAGATTAAATTTCTAGCATAGTTAGGCGCTTTGCTATAATATTTATTGAAATCGTCCAAAAAATTTGTAAGATGATAACCGTGTTTCAATGACCACTGGCAATTCCCAGCGATATACGAATGTATACATCGTAGATGAAAATCGTAGGTGAAGGAATGTAAATGCATATTTATTTTTATCTTATCACAGACATCTACGAAACTCAACATAAACTGAAAATAAAATAAAATAATTTTACTCTTTATATGTCAAGTTTAAAAAAATTTTTTTTTGGTTATTTGTTTGTTTGTTTGTTGTTTTTTTTTTAGTTAAACACTATTAAAATATACCTGATTTACTAAGGCACTGCTGGACTTTGCTTGTAATCGACTGCATTCGATTACTCGTAATTTAACGATAAAAAATGGTTCGGCTAAGTGAATTTCAAACAATAATACCCCACCTAACATAGACTTTTTAAGATAAAAGGCTTGATTAAGAATTGATACCTCTTCACTGTAAAAATAAACAAAGGTTTTGTTTAATCATCGTAATTGACGGCCAAATATGTATAAATATTTACAATAATAGCGAAATAATTTATTTTCTAATAAATTTAAGCGATGCACTAAAACAATTACATATCAAAACTAATTAATGTTATAGTACGAAATTGCTCTACTTTATAATTACATTTTTTGTTGTGATTCTATTTGAATTGGATTAAATCCTAATACTTGAAGGTACTGTTTATATTCAGACAGCATTAATTCGCAAATTTCTGTGTGCCATTTAGAAACAATTTTTTTCATAGATGCATCGCTAGTACTTCTTGATCGTTGTTGTGCGTTAAGAGGTAAATGAAGCGGAGGCGGTGTCAGCGAATGGTCTCTCGTCGCTGCTGATTGTAATCGCCATGTTGGTAAGAATAGCAAAGGTGTGTGACAATAGTGAATGAGTCGAGAATGTTGTTTAAAAGTGTTTAAAGTAGCCAAAGAAATCGGAATATTTGGCACGGCCCCACGACTTTGCCACATGGTGTGAAGCTTATTAAGGTCATCTAGTGAAATAAAAGTATGCTTTAATTATTTATTTTAAAATTAACAATCAACATTTGATACTAGATATGAAGTATGCACTACGAGTTATAAGCTTACTTTCAACAGTTACTGCCCGAATATGCATTTAAAACTACATTACAAACATAAAGAAAACTGCAACGAAAAAATGTTTCATTATAAGCAAGTCATTACTAAACATGGATTATGTTAACTTCCACGAAGCTCTAAAATAATATGAATGAATCCATTAATTATGTTTCACAGTTAATTCGCATATGATAACTTCATCTTTTCATCTTTTCACATAATTTTCCTGATCATTTTTATCAAGTCATTGCCTAATTTTTATTGTTATACCATTTATTTATTTATTCGGTATATTATTAAAGGTATTCATGCACTTAAATTTAGGTATATTTATCAAAAATCTCGATCATCATTCATTATTCTGACATGTAAGAAACATTAATAAACATTTACACATTGTTTATTTTGATGTTGTGATTGTATGTACAATCGAATATCAAAGTAATACATAAATATATGACAATGTATTGAACAGTCGGCCTTGACCTTTCTTTTATTTTTAATTAGTCATGGTGGTCAATGGAAAATTAAGAGGTCATACGATACCTATACTAGGATGATACCTATACAATGATTTAATATCAGCTGTGGATGTAATTTGAGAAGTAAAGAGAGCACCGGCATTACTTATAAGAAGGTCGAATAATCAATATCTTTTATCTTTTCGAATACGTTAATTTAATATCTCATATTTTATCATTACCTATACTCAAAGTACGACGGTTGAGAGAGAAACACAAGTTTAGTCATAATCTTGCGTTCATTAGCAATCAATTGAACTTTATAAATGTTAATTGTAATCCCATCAAATTTCTTTCAGTTTTTTTTTTTTTTTTTTTTTAGTGTATTTTTATCATAGTTTATTATAGTGTACTATAATATAGTATAGTATAGTAATATAATATAGTGTACTTGACTTAACAACTTCATTAGGAATACAAATATTAATGTTTTTTTTTTTTTTTTTTTTTTTTTTTTTTTTTTTTTTTTTTTTTTTTATACAAAATTTTAAATGTTTCTCCTAGATAATTGTAGTGTAATTTAAATAACAAAAAATATTTTAAAATAGTAAAGTAGTACCTTTAGATTTTTTTTCCTTGTGTCGAAGCTCTTGAAAATCGTATGCAGCTTTCACCACAGGATCAGTGGTATTTGGAGGATACTGACCACATGGTTTTGCGTCACGCATCACTTGACCCATCATGTGATTCCATGAGAATGGCATTGCACCTTTACCCGTTTGTGCCCGACTACTAATCCGTTGCCATTCTTTGTTATCAGCGTGCCCTACATTTGGAAATTTTGCGAGACTTTCCATATCACTTATGTGGTAGTATTGAGAATGATTATGCTCCTCTTGTTCGTAGTTTCTAATAGGTTGATGATGAAATATTCCAAGTTTTTGCATTATTATGTTGGAATATATGTTTGATCTAGAAGATAGCCAGAGACCCAAATTTGTTACTTGTTTTATTAATTTTTCGGAACGTTCCTTGGACCAGTTGTACATATAAAGAATAATCTGCGAAAAAACAAAGATGATTAATCGTATCATTTTATCGACATTTCAAAATAATTAAAAAATGTACGCACATGTTGATTTTGTATTTTAGCTAGAAGCAATCTTTGTCTGGGTACGAAAGTTTTTTCTAAAATTAATGGGTTAAATTTTTGAAGTAATTTTTGATCTGAAAATAAAAAAATATCATTTATGAAGCGTTGCTTGATATAATTCTACTTTTCTCAATGTAGTAAACTATAATATGTTAATATTAGATCTGCACACATTAGATCACATAAAATCACATTATTTATAATATTTCAATATCATATTTTGATCACTCAATTTTAATAGGTAATACCTTTAAAAAAAAAAAAAAAAAAAAAAAAAGAAAAAAAAATAAAAAAAAAAATAAAAAAAAATAAATATTAAGAAATTTATAGGTACCTTTTGGAATAAGTTGTTCAGATTCGATTCTATTACTAAATGATGCTTTCCACTGATTAAAATTTCTGGCAATTAAAATACTCCTAACGTACATTTCTGACTGCTCTTGCGTCACATCACATGGCAAGAAAATCAAATCGTCCGAGCTTTCCTGTTCGGAGGCTTTTGATAGCCATTTGACATTCCCATCGGCATTTTCTAGAGTCTTGCTGAGTAATAATTCATCCTGAGTTAACCTGTTGTCGATAAATGGTTGTCTGCTCCATTGTACAAAGGTACGCGCCGTTGTATCAAGCGCATGACTATGCACGAGATTTTGTAATTCCTTTAGAATTACTTGCAGGGAGTGTCGTCTTTCCAAAATGACCACGTGTTTCTTTATAGCCGGCGCAGACAAATCCAGTGCAAATTGAAACCAGTAAGCCATTGTTGTTTGATAAACTCTTCTTAATTTTCCCTTTTCACCTTAGCATAAAAAAATACTTTAATCTTATTTAAATTAGCTTAAGTACGTAAGTTCGATGCTTTTAATCGTTGTAATTTTTAATGTATTTTTCGACATCCTATTCATACGATTATTATGAAATATTTATGTTTATTTAAAAGAATTTTATTTACATATTATAATAAACAAGTACCTAATTCGTAGCCATTCAGTTCCAAGGGATTATTTCTCACGTCGGCCTCGTCAATATCTTCGGAATTCTCATATAGAGGCTCGGCTAAAGGTGTTGGTAAAAAATTATACTCAGTGATTAGATCCCAATTTGCGTGTCTAACGGCGGCTTTTAACTTTTGCACGAGAGATTCCAAGTTCACACGGCCTTGTTTCCATATACGAAATTCAATGTAAGCTTTTGATAATTCTTGCGATTCATTTTTATCCTGAAAGAACATAATTTCTCTTTAATTATTTATCTTTAATTTTCAGCACCGCATTAATTTTTTCCCCCTATTTTTCATTAATAGAGCATATCAATTCAATAATGTTATTTATGATTATTTAAAATGTGAAGCTTGAAAATGATTTCTTAATGTTTAATAGAAAATTTACATTAATTCGGCTTTCTTCACAAGGCAAACTTTTAAAGAATTGAATTGCGTAAGCTCGGTAAAAATATCTTTACTCACACAATTCTGCCCCCAATATACGTCGGTCGAAACGATTTCTTCAAAGTCGCGAATCTCCGGACAAATAGGGAACATCGAATCAAAAACATTCTCGTTCTCCGTGGCAATAATCTCGCCTTTCTCATTAACGATTGCGATCGCAATGCACGCTATCCCTCGGCTTCCACTCGAGTGACTCTGGTTGTATAAAAAAATGTCACTTTCAGGAACCCTTTTGCTCGAGCCGTCAGATTGCGAGTAATCTTGAAAATGAGAGTGTGCCCTTGTATCGATGTATTTGGGCGTATAAAGAAATTGGAGTATATTCTGGCGTAGGTAGTAGCCGAGTGCGCCCATATGACGTAAGCAGCATTGCTGCACAGACAATTGTATAACGCTTTCGGGAGCACGATATTGTCGTTGAATGAAGTGGACATCTGACGGTGTGAGTTTGCACATGGGATTCCTCGCTAACATAACGGATAAAACCTCGAGAACGGCGTCGTCTAGACGATTTTGCAATACTTGTACGAGCTCACACCTCACCTCCGGCCCAGCCTCTGATATACCATGTACCTGTTTTATGAATTAGATTCTTAGATTCTAATACGTGTTTATTTATTATTACCTAAGGATAGTCAGACTTATTAAACAAAATATATGACCTGAAAAGCGTACCATTAATACAATCGAATCACCAGATTTGTTTAATATATCCGATTCTCGTTCGCCGAAAGAGCGAACTCTTGGCCTAAGCAAATCCATTGCCGAAGTCGACGACGACGAGCTCTGATCCGTCGATATCCCTAAGCTCTTGGCCTGCGATAACGAAGCTACACTGCTACTACGTGATACCATTAGCCTTTCATCGCTCTCCGAGAGCTTGCTACTTTGTAGTGGCCTGTCATCGCTCGTCCGCTCGTGTAATCTTAAGTAAAAGACATTGCCGTTGCTTTCCTGGTAGACGAACATATTACTACGGTTGTTCACGGAGAAGCGATTAAGCACAGCCTGCAGAGCTTTGATACCGCGGGACATACCAGTTTTACCAGGTCCAGTTTTCAAACGGTGATGCAAACAGAATGGTACCTCCCATACAATGGGACAACGAAACATTCCTGGTGAGACGTTTGTCGCTATTGTAATGAAACAATCGATTATTTATATAAAGTGACTATACCCTGTATGTAGAGTAATTGAAAAAGCTTCTTTGCTCTCTGTGGAACTTAATTAATTACGTAAAGTGTGTATTACATGTATATTTAAGAAATGCGAAATGAAATAATATCTCAAGCTCTTTAGCTATTAAAAAAAAAAAAAAAAAAAAAAAAAAAAAAAAAAAAAAAAAAAAAAAAATTCATTTGAAAATTAAAGAAAAATCTACATGTTCTAATATTTATATTCACCATTACTGTTCTGATTTTGTAACGGTAACGAGCTGCTTTCAGAATTATTTTCAGCATTTTTCCACGTATGGTCTTCAATAGACTCAGGCTCAAGTAGTTGATCACACATACGTTTGTCATGTAAATCACGTAGTAACAAATACTGATTGACTCTTTGACATATTGCTTTAATCTGTAGTACTGCAGTTTTTTGCACTTGTTGATAACGATCGACTTCCGATGAAGTAAGTTCGAGAAACCGGCAGTGAAAATAAACATTGACATGGCCATCCTGAACGCGCAGTATCAGCCAGAAATTGGGAAGAAGATCTCGTCGGTGATCGAGATCAATAAGCCACTGACAGTCATCCTCGGAGTCGCTACTGTCCCCTTCGTAGCCATCGTCTGTACCTACTTGATTGTCGCCGATACTCGATATTTCCGAATGATAACCGGGAGGATCGCCAGAGTCTTGCTTCTTTACTCGTACAGACGTTGGAACCTGTAAGTCGTCTCCGATGAAAACCGAGTTGTCATCGTCTAAGACTAGGGAAAATATATAAATTTAATTGCATAAATTTAAGTATCAATTAATAATAACGCATTTTCGAATTAGCCGAGAGAAATACTCATTTTTCAATGCACTAAAAATGTAAATGTCAGTACATAAACGTTAATAAAAATATCTCAAATACTTTGTTAATTTCAATGACTTGACATTGACAGAATTATGTATTTGAAAAATTTAACAATATTTTTTGTTTTAAGAGAAAAGATTTGCATCAATTTTATAAAGAAGTTTGTCGAATTTTTGTATTATTCATCACTTACGTTTTTCCGCAGATCCGTCTTTAAAAGACGTTTGCTGTATATCATCGACACAGATAATATTATTCGTATTTAATGTCTTTTTTACAAAGTAAAATAAATTGCCTCCTTGACGAATACAATATCGATCTATCGTTAATTTCTTAAGCTCCTCCATAAATTTTGGCAGGCTGTTATCCGACGAGAAAACGAAATGTAAAGGCACTTTATCCATGTAACAGCTTGTTCTGTTATTTGAATTGGCTACATGCTTGGCCACAAAATTCAGCGTCTCTTCCGTAGGCGAGGACTTATCCAAAAGCACTGCCGCGGTTTCGTCTCTCAGCAGCCAATGGATTTCCTCAACGAGATTTGACACTGCGGCATACTGATGACTCGGTAAATTCGCCATGCCCTCGTGCATATGTTCACCCTCGGCTGTCTGAAGTCTGTCAAAGCTATTTTCATTATTATCGGGGCCGCCACGCATACTACTTTCGCTAGAATACGAAGTTGTTCTCAGGCCCGATGGTGTATTCTGGATGCTTACCTGGTTGTAATATTTGTGAGATTTAAAGTACATAAAAACTATTACAATTACAAAATGTAAATAATAGTATGTTGTATGATTTATGCAATCATTTGTAAAGCAGTATAATATTATTAACACGTCAAACGTTTCTTAAAACTTATATATTTCTTAGATATCCGATATCGGATTATTATTATATGCTAGTTTCTGTCAACTATAATATTCCTTTTAAATTTTTTAATATATTTGAGAAATTTATAGTATTTATTATTCTCTTTCTTTCATTCCTTTTGTTTATGAAACAATTTGCTGAATTAGATAAATAGCTTTATTAATGATCTAAAATCTAATTCGTCAACTGATAATTAACATTTCTCAATCTGGAGCAATGTTTTTAGCAATTTCGTAATATTCGAAATTCAAATATTAAATTTATGTAGTTTTAAAGAATTTGATGTATGAAAGTACATTTACGAGCTTTTTAAAGTTTCAACATGGCGTTAACATTATTTTTATGATTTTCTATATAGATGCTTTTTTTTTTTTTTTTTGTTATAATATAAAAACACATTAATCTTTATATATAAATGTTCGTAATTCTGACTTACTTCGAGAACTTCCTTTGGTAAATTTAGACAGATTATATCAAGAGTGATTTTTAAACCAGAAGAAGCGCCGCAATCTTTAAGATTGTAATCGTCGAGTTTTTGGGTAATTTCAGTAAAGCAAGTTGGAAGAAGTTTGACGGCAGTACTGGAAAAGCTGGACTTGGAGTGAATCGAGCAATTAAGTTGAAGAAATAAGGGCTGATCATGATCGTGTTCTGCATCCATTTGTAGATCACTGATGAAAGAGTCGGTTGAATCAGAGCTTTTAGAAAGTTTGGAACGTTCGTGCATGCCATTTCCAGACCACATGATCGTACCGATATGATTAACTAGTCAATAAACAAGATATTTTATATCATTGTCATAAGTAATTATATTAACAACGTACATAAGGCATATTAGATTAACTTTCAGTTTAAATTTATGAATATTTGTAAAATATACAATTATGATAAAATAATCGTATCGAATGACTATAATTATGTAATAATATACATTAGCATATATAATTAGTAGAACTTCAATATTGAAATACGATTACGATATATAGTAAAGTAATAAAGATTACTGAAAGTTTAAAATACTGAAATTTAGTTTTAAAAAAAACTTTAACTAAAAATTACACACTACCTTTTTTCATAGAGCTACATAGTTTTCCATTAATTGCTTCAGAATTAAAACGTACTTCGTCATCACTGTCGGAAGATGCTTGCGGTACCGCATCAGCCTAAAATAAAAGTTACAAGTTTAAAACGTTAACTATACTAAGCATCCTATTCACTGTATTAATACTTCAACGCGTAAATTTAACATGTATATTAATACTTTAATAATTATGGGCACATTTAAAGAGGAGAAATATAAACTTTGAACTGTCATTCATGATTTATTTAATATTTTGTTAAATGAGAATATGTTCAATACAAATGCATATAATAATATTGTATTAATTAATTTACATTCGTATACAAACCAGTTTGTCATTTTTCCAGGATGGTAGACAGTAGTAGAAATCAGGATGTACAGGCACTTGCTTAAAGGCAACATTAATGATCTTCTTAAATTTATCCTTAATTAGATTATGCATATTGCGCATCTCGCTACATGGGGTCCCTTCATTGTCGGGTGTTCTGAGATGTTGACAAACAGCTCGCAAATAATCCGTGATATTGATTTCAATCAGGCATTCCTCACACTGCTCGACCGCTGCATCCATGTCATCATAGTTTAATGGTTGTTGAAGAACCAGAGACTTGTAAACTGCCACCACATAAGAATGGCAGTGAGCCAAACTTAAGACCTTGCAGTGTTCCGTGAGATTACGTTGATCTAGACAAATTAATTATTTGTAATTGGACATGCACATGAACAAATTCATTTAATATAAATAAACAATTACTTATTCTTAAATAATAATAAATAATAAACAATTGTACAATATGTAACTCAGGCTGGTAACATGGATTTATAGCTTAAGAAACAAAATAAAATAAGTTCAGTGTACAAACATCAATGTAGTTCAAATAACTAATTTACTATTTTAGCTTCATTTTATTATGGGAAATATATTTGTCGAAAGAATTAATGTAAACGTTAACTTTCTATTAAATATGGCCACATAAAAGTTTAAGTATTCATTACCCTACTATTTATAGAAAATTATATTAGAATTTATCATAAAATCATTAAATGATTTACTAAAATAATTTTATCGAACGTATATTTACTACTTTATAAATTTATTTTATAAATATATTTAAAACTGATATAAAAATTTATCTATATAAATAAGCTAATAGCATAAAAAAGTCGGTATTAATTAAAAGAATAATATTTCTGTATAATAAAATTAAAAATCAAACTATTATTAATATAATAATAACGAATAATAAATTTCTATAATCATATCTTTCTTCTAATTTTAGGTTTCAAATTACCGTTGGGAATATTATCGGAGTCTTCGCTCTTCGGTTCAGGTGACGACGGCTTTGTAGTATCAGCTGATTTGAGATTTATAAAATCCTCGTGGAGTTGTTCATTCATTCGATAGGTATGGTTATGATAGATGTCTTTGAACCTCGGTCTTTCAAGTTTCTCAATGAGCGCATCGATGAGCAATGCCAAGGAACAATCATACACGTATATCGGTAGTATAAGTCCGCGCTTTGTGTTCTCGACAGTCGATGGCAGTGACTTTTCGTACGTATCTGTCGTTTTAGGCGAGCTGAAAGCCAAGGCGTTTTTGAAGTAGTCCAGTTCATTGCTCTCCTGTTAATTAAATAATAAAAGACAATTGTACTATCAATACATGGTGCTTAATAATTTAATTCAAATATATGTTTTCCAATCTTTTTATACGCATCGAGTCTAAAAAAAAAAAAAAATAGCGTAAAATAATATTATTATTATCTTTGTCTTGCTTTCGTGTTACAACAATAATTATTATTACTAATCGTATTCAAACCTAATGTTTTGCCAATTATAAACAAAACTAATTATACATAGTCGATAATACGATTTTTATCATATCTCAACTCGGTTATAAAGTAAACTCATGTAAAACGTTTATTAACTTCAAATTTTATAAGCGTTGTAAAAAATCGATTTTTTTTTTTTTGTTGAAAATAGAAATCTACCAGCTAGATTAATCAGAGGTTTTATATTATTTCTTTTAATCTAATATATTTTTCAAAGATTAAAATTTTTTAATGTAATTTTTAATATTAGCATTTTAATATTGTAAACAATATTATTTGACTTTTTGATATGTTGATCACAATTAAATTAAAAAAGCACAAATATTCGAGCTGTATTTGATAAACGACCAAATAAAAGGATATGAAATAGCGAAGAGAATTATTTTTTTATTTTTTTTTTTTTATATTTCAACGAAATTTCGTATTATAAACACGTTATTAATTAGAAACAAATAATTCATAAAAAATATAAATTATAAGATTTTCAATATAAATAAAATTACAAATTTTTATATAAAAAGAAATATTTTTATGATAAATTTTTACGAAATTTGGTGAAATTAATATATTAATTGTTTTTAACTATTTTCTAAAAATTATTAGAAACTATTAGAAATTATTATAATGTCAACTAAGGAAAAATAAATATTTAATTTTTTTATTCAGCACTTATATGTATCTAAAAATTACAAAGAGATTAAACAAATAACTCAGTTAAAATGAATAAAAATACAATTATTATAAAATAAAATAAGCATTTGCAAAAATAGAAAAATATTATTAAAAATATAAAAAATTAAAATGTCATTGATATTATTTATGAGTCTCCATGTCATTCATCCCAGTATTTCCCATTGTTCGGTGTGTGCGCGCGCATGCGTTTATTTCTTTAATGATAAGAAATCACGTATTTACCTTCATTTCAAACCCGAGTACTTGTCACTACACATAAATATCAAAGATAATAGTCGGTAACTTATTAATATAAAAATTAAGTGCGATACGATTAAACTAGACGATATTATCGTCAGTTTAGCATGTGTTAAATCATTACATTACATGAAAATGGAAGTGAACTTACACCAAGAGAAATACCTTGAGCATTTTTCAATATTAATTTGAATATGAACTCATTATAAATTGTTACTGGTGTTGTTATTATTATCATTATCATTATCATCGTCATCGTCATCGTCATCGTCATCGTCATCATCATCATCATCATCATCATCATCATCATCATCATCATCATCATCATCATCATCATCATCATTATTATTATTATTATTATTATCATCATTATCATTATCATATGACATATAATAAAAGATCATATGTCACTATCAATATCATCAATAATTTTACGATATCTATCAACTTTATAATCCTCATAAGTATTGATTTCATTATCATTAATCAAAGATCAATGTATTTAGTGATTATTTTAATATATAAAGGATAGAAAAAAGAAAAATAAAAGTGAAAATTCTTTTTACAACTCTTCACGAAACATTAATTAATTTGATAATGAGGTTTGGATTGTCACATTTTACTCATAATGTCAAGCAAATTAAATCAATAAGATAAGATTTGAGAAGCATTCCTGATAAAAGCTACGCGAAAATTTAATATCGCATATTCTATTTCATTGTACAATCTTACCAAGATGTCAGAAGCAATTTGAATGGACGATGCATCCGCGGATGGCAATAGTTCCCTATTATCTCCGTACACCTCAAGTTGCTTATAATCCAACTGTTCACTTGTCGAGTCGTCTTGCTGGTGCTCAAATACAGGAGTAGTGAGAACGTGACGATCGATTTCTTCTTCCGGATATGTCATTAAATGCACATCATTCTCTGATGCTGGTATTAGCGTGACTATTACGTGAGTGACACTGATGCCTTTGATAAAGCATCTCCAGCGCGGGTATAACATTGGCTTGCTATTCCTTTCTATTTCTAAAGATTGTATACTTACTGTTGAATTTGTCTACTTAAAGTTTCCTTAAATCTATAAGCTTAGATGCTGATTTAATTTATAAATAACACAAGACTTTTTTTTACTCTAGAGTTTGAACATAATTACTTTTATCGATATTGAAAATCATTATTTTACATCTGAATTACTTTTCAGGATAAATTACTAATAGATATTTCTATTATAATTTCTTTTAATTTATTTAAATATTGTAATATATATATACAATATTTAAGTATAAGTTTGAGTACAAACAATTAAAAAAAAAAAAAAAAAAAATAAATAAATAAATAGAGGATCTAAACAATTATAAAGAATAATTTAAAGCATTTTAGGGATTAAATTTTGATTTTTAAATAAAAGAAAACTCGCATAACAATTTTGAATTATAATTCTAGCTTGTAATAATTTTAATATACCATAATTACAAAAGAAGAATTTTGATTCTTCCTCTCTGTGTCTTGCTGCAAGCATTTTAGTAAATCTATTCGAGTCCGTTGCACTCAGTATGAGTTCTTTATTATGTAAATTTTGTATATGATTCAATAGGCCTTCCATTAAAATTCCATTGGCATTGTTTTCTTCTTGCAGCTGATCTTTAACATCTAAAAAGCATTTTTTCTAATTTAAGTATATAAATACACAGAAAACACTATTATCAGTACATCAAATAATCTATTTTGAATTTTTCAAACGAACTATTAGCATTTGAAAAATAAAATTAATGTTTTGGGAAATGAATTTAATTTTTATTTTTATTTAACACTTTTATACATTTTTCTTATGCACATAAAAATATTATAAATTTTCTATTCACAGTAAAATTGTACCCTTAATAAAACTATATTTTTGTAAATAAAGCATTTTCTATTTATATCCCAATGATTTGCAATAAATTATCAATATATATTTATCAATACAAGTGTATAAAATACTGATGAATCAGACCATCGGCAAACATGGAGAATAGAAGTTCCGCTTGCTGACACTTGGATAAAATACCGAGCGTATCAAAATCGAATTGCATGGAGCGAATGCGATTGTCGATGAGAGCATTTTCCGAGATCTCCGGGTACGTGGCCCGTCTTGTTGTTGTTTTGTTTAGACTTATGTTGTTATTGCAGTTATTGTTAACATTGCTGCTAGTTGGTTGATTTCCTGATAAACCTGTTTGTTGCTGATTACATGGGATGTCGTTGCTTGGCGGTAACACTTGACACATTAGGCTAAGATGCTCCAGGGTTAGGAGGGCGTTGATGCATTCTTTGTCTACTTTGGATATCTGTTTTTTTTTTTTTTTTTTTTTTTGACATCCAATTTTAATAAGGAAAAAAAGTTTGTAAATAATATTACAATCGGTTGTGCAAATTTATACATATCATACAAGTAAATATATAAAAATTGTATATTTTTGTTATTTCATTAACGAAAAAGAAAATAAAAAAATTATATTTATTATTGAATTTATTGGGTTTATTATTAACACTAAAGAATTATGAATAGTTATAAAAACTAAAATTCTATGAATATTAGGTAAATGTGATTTCCAATTATTTCTTAAAATATTTGTAACAATATTTAACATTTCTCATTTAACAAATTCATAAAAGAAAATAATTATTATATTATTATTACTATTAAATTACGTATATTAATAATTAATGTGTATTTCTGATTCATTTGATTTTGATGAAAATTATTGATTCATGATTTAATTAATAAAATAAACTAACCAAGTATTTACTTATTTTTACAAGGTGCATATATTATTTTTCGAAATTTAATTCAATTCAAAATAAATAAATAAATATAAATGGTGAAATTTTTTACTTTTAACTGAAAGGATAAAATGTCTTTTTAACATGAAGAAATATGGATCTTTAATAAAATATGATTTTAAATGATGGATATTTTTAAAAAATTGTTTTAGAGACTTGGATAGAGTGATTACAATTTCATTTTATTGTCACAACTTATAATTAGTTATAAAAATAGTATAAAAAATGTTTTGTACAAAAATTATGGTTTTATCATAAAAAACTAAATAAGATTTCAGATTTTTTGAAATTAAAATTTATACACTGGTATGTTTGTCAGGACGAATTAATTCATTTTATTTATATATTTCAATTAAAAAGGTCATTCCTAAAATATTTCTAATCGTTATATTACATTAACCTGCATAACCAATAAAATAATGTTTCAATTTGTGAATTACAATTTTTATTGTTCATTTACATATCTAATTATCTATTTCAATATTATTATAGATTTTTTCAATAACATTAATTTTCCACCTATAACTTTTTTTTTCAGTTTTATGTTTTGGTAATTTAATTTCATTTCATCTAGTTAAACTTTAATTTGCAATATTTATGATTAGTAATAACAAAATTAATTTAGAAAGCTTAGATTACAATCTACTATTACATAATACTATATTTTGCACGAGTTTAAAGAAAAAGTTAAAATTACATTTTTACCTCAATACTATGTATCATGAATGTGTTATTATGTATTATATTGTTTTATATAAAATAAAAATGTAATATGATAAAAATACATATTCATATATTATTAATTATTTTTTGTTATAAAATTAATACTATTTTATTAATAAATTCATACATATTTTAATATTCAAAATATCTATTTAACCAAATTTATATAAAATCTTACGATGAATTTAAATATCTTTCGTTAATAAAGTTGAATATTAATTTGTTATAGAAAGTTTTTACGAGTAATTTTTATATTAAGATGAATGCGTTTTAATTCAGGGAATAGAATTATTATTAATATTTCTATTACTATTGTATGTATTAAGTAAAGTTTAATGAAATATTATTATTGTAATAACTATTCAAAATTCATAGTGTAGTTTTATTTTTAATTGTAAATATATATAAGATCAGAATTTCAAGATTATTTATATCATATAATTTATGGATTTATTTTTACATCTTAGGTATAGGTAATTTGTTGTTTTATTTGAATAAAATAATATTTTTTAATTTGCATTACTTATAATAAATTGTCTATTGAACTTTGATCTATAATAATTTTTGTTTTTTTTTAATTTTCTTTTCAGTTATTGACATCGATAAAAAGAAAATCATTATATAATAAATACACAATATAGAGAAAATTACAAATATATTTTACAAGTCATGCACATATACTCGATTACCTTAAAAATAATTTTCTTATGTTTTATTTTTATAGGTCTAAACGAATTGGAGATCGTGAAATGTTACTATTTAATTCTTTTTACAATCAAATTCTTGAAGCGAAGATGTCATGAGATTTCAGGAATAAGTTGGAGGAGTTGAATCTCACTTTATTACAAAGCGCAGAGACCACTACTCCACTTGAACCTGGAACTCTTGAAAAAAATTAATTTTCGCGCTCCCTGTTTTTTTCTCTTTTGCTCGATTTGACTGATGCTTTATCTTTTCTTTTTATTCTCTCACTCATTTGCCATCAGGGAAAATGATTTCCGATGTCGAAATTTTGATGGGCATTATCGACATCGAATAAGAAAAGAAAAATCAATTGGCTGTTGACGTATTGCCAAGTGATCTCGAGCTGGAAGAGTTAGATCTGGCAAATTTTTCAGAGCCCTTTATGCTCATTGTCTAGATCCCCACTTCCAACTCAAGTACACCCGACCCTTCGCTGCAGTTTCAGTGGTGAATTCGAGGACATCCAAAGATTATCCAAGCCCATGAGGATGGGAAAAAATCTATTATTAATATTCTTATTTTTGGAAGATTATATTTTTTTCCAAAGATTATCCAAGCCCATGAGGATGGGAAAAAATCTATTATTAATATTCTTATTTTTGGAAGATTATATTTTTTTTCTTCTCTCTCTCTCTCTCTTTCTCTCTCTCTCTCTCTCTCTCTCTCTCTGAATCTATATATATATATATATATATATATATATATATATATATATATATATATTTATATATATATATCTTTTTCCATTACTTTTTGCATCTTTGTTAGAAATAAATTTATCTAAATCAAAAAATATTTGTAAAATTAAAACTGCTTAACACATATTTATATAGTGCTGATAAACAAAAACAGTTTATTTTTTACTATTTTAACAATTTTAAAATAAATGTTTTAATGTGCGTAAACTAATTGCACGTTATTATGTACTTCAATTAGTGTAATAATTATTTATAGTTTGTATATTTTTTTAATTTAGAATGCGATTATTATTATTACTATTGTAATAATTATTGAGCATAAAAGTATTAAAAATAATAAAAAAATTAATATTTATGTTATATTTGATATTATTTTATAAAAAATAAATTTTTACGAAAAGTGTATTTATAATTATTATTAATATATATATTTTAAATGCTTATTGTTTAGCATCTGATATATTTCATTATTTTATATTGTGATACAATATTTATGGTTTAATTATCAGTAAAAAAAATAGTAACATCTGAATATGCATTATTCTAAGATTTAAATGGTGAAATCAATCCGAATTCATTTAGTATAATTTTCGAAAAAGGAATCACCATATTGTATTGTTATATGTAGAGTTATGTATTTTTAAAAATATATTTTATTTGATATCCCGTTATATAATATAGAAGTAAATTAAAAAATATTTATAATTTAAATAATTTACACGTCTTATGTATTTAATATCGTATTAATCTTTTAATAACAATAATTGTACTCGCAATGTCACTACATAATTTATACTGCTCAAATTATATTACCATTATCAATAATGTAAAGCATGCTTTATATTATTTCAACACTCGACATAGCATTCATTCTAATCTTCATCACCTTTCCATACATACATGGCGTCATCACTTTTATCATATTTCCGCACATGTAGACACGCACGAGCCTATCGTAAAACATCGCACATTTTATTTCTATGTCTAATCGAAGTAGCAATGGAACATCGCAAAATCATTCCGCCCCCCCCCACTTCCCTTGACTCACGAAATTCAATTTATCATTACCCATGCCCGCTTAAACTTATAATTCATTCGGAGATTGAGGCGGTCTTAAATCGATAAGACGCTACTCCCTTATCACTGTTCTCTTTCGCACTGTACTGAATTTTATACCACTTTTCTTTTATTTTATAACCTGCGTTTGAGCGATATTTTTGGTTGTCTCAAGTGGGAGCACTATAACAGATTAGAGCCAAGCACATATTTCTGTTCCGTAACCAAAAACATTTTGAAGAACGGGGGGAGCGAGAGACTAGTGTCTTATCTCTGTTATCGCGTATTAATTCTTCCTGGCTTTTTCTTGAGGAAACGTATTTTTTGTTATTCATGTATATACAGATGTATATACATATAGATACATACGCCCGCACGCGCACACATACGCGCATTCAAGCGCGCGCGTACATTTATATATACGTACATATAAACGCTATTATCTTATATAACGAATGCATAAGAATATGTAATCATCCCTGAAGACACCTTTCATCACTATTTTTTTTCCCATTTAATTTAAACATTACTTTGAACATCACTTCACCAGTATTAATAGTTTGATCTTGTTACACAAATAAAAACAGCACGTTCATTGAAAGGTCAATTGGTTTAATAAAAAAAAAATGATATCAAACTATTAATTGGTCCTCTTCATTGTTTATTAAATTATATTATAATCAAAAGATAATATTATAAGTAATATGTTCAACATGAAAACTACATATTAAAGTTTTAAGAATTATTTAAGCAAACATATTCACGTAAAATTAAATTTAATAAAATTAACGCAATTTGAATTTAATGTTAATAAAGTAATACATTCAACACTAGTCAATTAAAAAGCCAACATTAGAACAAAAGAAAAAAAAGTTGACAACTCCATTTCTATTTAGCAACTATAAGATCACAAGTACGACGAGTGTTTTTTGAGTATGTGGATTTTGTATTCATGATATGAAACGGAAAAACGTAAAAATATAATACAACGAACCGCACTTAAAAGTTCACACGTAACTATGAATTTTGCGATGTTCCAACACTGCACCAAACCCCTTTCAAACACTTAATTAAAACAAAAAACAAATTTATATATATACATATATATATATATATATATATATATGCAGAGAGAGAGAGAGAGAGAGAGAGAGAGAGAGAAATAGATGAAAAGGAAAGGTATATAATATAAAGGAAGAGAAAGTTAGAAGAAAATGGATATTGAAAATATAAATGACTGTAGAATAATAGATAAGAAACAAATACGAGCACTTGCGATAGCTCGTGATGGGTCAGTAGTAGGCCCAAGTCAGATGATGAGACCTATATATACCTGCCGAAGTCTGACTGATAGGAAAAGCTCGTTTCAAGTCCTTCTACTACCCATCGATATCGGCACTCTCTTGTTGCCGTTGTTCACGCGCCCCGCCCGCTAATGATAACGACACGCTTGTCACGGACGACTCATCATAGCTTAAAACAAGCAATATTGTTGCCCGAATTTGCGAAAAAAACTATGGTACCGGAATATAATACTAAATATCGATGAATATAATAACTTGCATCGTTTTTGGTTGAACTAGGAGAGTGAAGGTGAATGATTATTGATAATAATGTTAAATTTGTAACTATAATAATTTGGTATATTGTAAAAAAGTATTGTTATTGTTTAAAAAAACTTAAACATCAATATGATCGTATGATAGGTGCTTGACTATAGTAGCAAGCTTATGAAGTGCACTAGTAAAAATTTATTTTTTAAAAATACAATGTTATAAAACAAATATTTTTTATTTCCAATTCCATATCGACAGAAAGTTTTAAAATTTATATTTGTATATTTTTTCGTACTTATTATAACGTTCAAGGAATTGTTAGAGTTTGCAGAATACATTAAACTGGAATTCATGAAGAGTTTTTCATGAATGAATAAGTCATAAAATTATATTATTTAAAAAGCAATACTATATTATTGTTATAGTTCTGATGATAAAAACACATTTAAATAGAAAAATCTTCAAAATATTATAAATGAAGTAAAAAAGCATGACAGATGAAATTATTTTTATAACTAAATAATCGATTTTGTTGAAGACAATTTATTTACATTAAATTAAAAAAAAATCCATTTAATTATAGAAAATAAGCTTTAAGAAATATAAATTGTTAAAAATATTTTTAAAAATCGACTTTTTGATTATTATAATTCATTATTTGTTATTTACCATTTTGTACACGTTTCATATTATTTAACAATATAACAATTTGAACAAATTATAAAAACATTTAAAAAGAAAATATAGAAATTCAAAAATTTGAGAAACTCCTAATAACAATTGTACTCTGATTTTATTCTTCGATATTTATAATATTATAATAAAAATATATTACATATTGAAACTCATAAATAAAATCTTAACTCAATTTACATTCATAGGAATATTTAATGAATAAAACTAATTTTGAATCTGTAATGTTTTGTTTACTTAAATCGTAAGTTTATTGTGGTCCATAACAATTGTCTATTAAATTAAAAATTTATTATACAACCACAATTTTTTGAATGCATAAAACTGTACGATTAAAATCTGTTAAAAAAATTGAATACCTTTCATTTTCCAATTATGATCAATACAAACAATAAAAATTAATTTCAAATTATATACTTTACACAACGGTAGAATTAATTTTTGTTGTTATTTTACTATGTACATCTCAATATAATACACGAAAATATAAACTTTATTAAATTTGTAGATATCTCCTATTATTTAGTTCTTTTTTTTTTTTTAGAAATATTTACATTTATTTATTATATAAGTTTTGTATAGTTTCAATTATCTACAATTGTAATTAAAGCAAACTCCCGATGTTGCAAATGCTGCATTACTTCATTTTATTTTACAATGCTAACGTGTAAAATTATTTGCATCTATTTTAATTATTATTTTCAGTTATTATGAATTAAAAATAATTTTTGGTTATATTTGAGTCACGAAGATTTAACATTTTTCTTGTTATAATTTGTTTGTATCTGACTGAGGTATTAACCCTTTGATATATTATTTTTAATGACCTACATGTATTTTATTAAATATCGAAATTTTTAATAATATTTAAATACAGTAATTTCATAATTTTAACTTTAATAAATAGTGTTTGAAAATTCTATCGATTTCATTTGGAAATTGTAGCTTCATTTTTTCAATCAAAATATTATAAAATTAATTTGATTATAAAATAATTTAAACGGTAATATTATTGAATTTTCAATAACAAAATATAAATAGTAATAAAAAGTGTAAATAATGACGTTATCTAAGTGTACAGGAAAAAATATAAGTCACTATTTTGGTTTCAATGGAATTGTAGAACACGAACGGTAGTTAAATATTATTTATTTATATTTTATAATTTTACAAGAGAAAGTAATGGATATGCTTTGTCGTTCGAATTTCACTCATTGTTAATGTCTCTAAGCTTATGATGCCTAGACAATTCTTAAAATGTATAGAAATATTTTTTATATCTTAATAAATGGATTATGTTAAAAATTCGCAATAAAATGATATCTGTATAAAATATGGAAAACATAAATTAAAAAGATACTATAATTATTGCAATGTATAATGAAAAAAAAGCCTGGCTTTCAATAAGAAATAAGAAGCTGCTTTTAAATATATTAGTATTTTATGAAAATCAAAATATCAAGAATAATTGAAGGCATATAAATAATTGATATATTTGCTATTCATATAGAAATAATTTCGAATGTTAGCATTAATTCAATAAATCTTGACAATTTTATCATCGAAGAATCTTTTTCAGCTCTAAACAATGTACACGTATAATATTTTAATTCTATTTTAATATCATATTCGTAAGAAAAATAGCTACTTGAGCGTAACAATTGCTTGTTTAATTATTTATATGTAGCTATCTCAACGTTAATATATAAAAATTAACGTTAGATCAAGATATAAAATTAACGGTGTTTCGAAATTACAACTTAAATTTTAAACGGGATACGATAACATGACGAATTCCATTGTAAGAGCAATGTGTTTACTTAAGATTGATAATTTCTCTTTTTTTGATGATTTTTTTTTTTTGCGTGTGCATACACATATAAGGTAGAATTTTATCATTTCGATATGTATTCTTTTAAATTTTGAATGTAATTTTTCATTTTCATTTGTTGGACATAATAATAATAATATCCAAAGCAGTATAATAATAAGCAATTGTAAATTAATGTATTCAAGAATAACATTATAAATAAAAATTGTTATGCGATAAAATCGATTTAAGATAGAAAAATTATATAAACCGGTCTTATTATATTTATGTAAATTAAAATAACACCAGGCGATCTTTTATTGAAAAAGCGTAGAATACATTGAATTATTACAAGCACAAAGTTTTACAAAGCATTTAAAAAGACGTACAAGTGTTTGAAATTTTATATATGTATATATATATTTTTTTTATTTTTAAGATTTTCGTGCCACGGCTCGTACAAGTGAAATCTTTAATATCTTTGACGACTTTTTTTGTTTGTCGAGGGAGATAGCGCGCGTGCGCTCGCTCTTTCGTCTACCTAACAAAATAAACCACTTCAGAAAACCGCTGGTCAGGATAAATTTTTATTTTGCTGATTACGACCATTATCAACGCCGTTGCCAGCGAGATAAGGTACGTCGAAGAGGCAGATAGAGGTGGAACGAGGCTTTTGACTTTTAGCCGGGGGAGTTGTGAAAAACTCAATTCCTTTTTCGATAACGCGTTGGCTTTGCCAAGTGACGAGGAATCATCTTTTCAAGAAATAAACATTCAGACAGCCGAATGAAATTCACGAAGAGAAATAATGCATTTCTTACAATAACGGACAATTATTTATTCACACGAATGATCATATAAGCGATTATTTTCTGTTTTCTGTTCTACTAATTTGCTTCGATCGAATCGATCGGTGCATTCTTCGAGTGTCGCCGGTAATCAGACGTATACGTGTTGAGATATTGGAAATATTTGGATATCTTATCTACCTATGATTTATTTTATAAAAAGAGACGACCCTTGATTTAAGTGACTAGTCATTTAAGCATAAAGCAATGTACAATTTAATTATTATTTTTAAGATGATTCAATAATTCAAATTTCGTCGTTGAATACCATCATTATCGTTCAAGAATTTATTTGTTTCGATCTTTTAAATTAAATATTCTCCTTGATAATATGCGAAAATGTATTAAATTTTTAAGGTAATTGATTGTAATTTTGTATATCAATGCTCCGTTTGCAAATGTAAATAACTTAGTGCAATGAAATAATTTGCGGAAAGCTTGTGATTATTAAATATCTCGAATTTTATCCAATTCTTATTAAAAATTTCACATTAAGAGAACTAATCAACGTTTCTTGTAATTATTCGTATAATATCTTTGATTTCGTCAAGTTTTCGGTATTATATGACAGTATATGATAATATATGAGATGATGTTTCAAAAGTTTCTTTGCTTTAGCGGAACTATGTATAATTTATTAAAGTCGACTTGTAAATTTATAATTTTCTCATTAATAGTACTAATTTTACATTTCTACTTACCACTTCAGGAAGTTGATGGTATTCACAGGAATGCATATAAGCAGCTTTTTTTCGCGAGTTCATCTGAGCATAGCCACATTGGGGTTCGATCCAAACTTCCATAACTATTTGAAAGTCTCCAGTTGTTTCGTTATCCTCAACACCATTTTCTCCATCGACCGTACCTTTTATTTGCAAAAAATATCAATTTCTTAAAACAAAGTACTACTATTCTCTTCTACATCAAAGCATTGAAAAATAGATAGAACATTTAAGAAACAATTACTTTCAATGAATATTTAAAAATTTAGTTTATTATCTAACTGTAATAATAACCTTCATCTGTTTCATCTTCCGATATACTATCTTTATCTGCACTACCAGGGCCAATTACTACGTGAGGAGGAAATAAAATATATTGAACTATACAGGGGTACGCTGCATCGTTATACCCTGACCCTTTCATTTGCACCTCCATCACAGTATTTATTATACCAGCAGCTGAATATGCAAAATTAAAACCCTCCGCAAGACGAATCCTATAATAAAAAATATATCAAATATATATCAAATATATATATATATATTTACGTAGTATATTAAAAGAAAATTTTTTTTTTTTAAACTAATACATTAATATTCAATATAAACTGATTTAATTTTATTTTTGGGCTCGAATAATGCATTTGATATTTCTTAGGGGAACAGTGCAATTTGTTTTGGGATAAATATAAATTTTTGTATTTATACAATCTATATAGTATACATAAGTTCAAAACAATTAAGATTTCTAACGAATTGGTATTCTCGAAATATATATATATATATATATATATAAGCATACGTTGAATACACACGAATATAAAATCTTACTTTGTAATAGTCGAAAGTATTCGAGCTATGGCCGCGATATTGAGTCTCGGTAAATTGATTGCAGGCACCGTCTGGAGGCAGGGCTTCTTTAATAGCCAGAGCCATCTCATGTGATAGAGATACCTGCTGAGCGTCGTTGTAAGACTGCCTCCAGCAATGGAGGCATTCCT